CAGGTAGAAAAATCCTCCTATAAGCACTAAAAAAACAACACAGGATGTCATACAAAAAAAATCTATTCTGACCCATAATTATGTAGTAAGGGTATGGAGGTTATTCCCTATCTTTATTCAAGAGCGTGTTCTTTCAATTTGAGAGCATCATTTATTGATTTCACGTTCAGATTTTGTATTTCTTTCAGTCAAACCCTGCCCTTGCGCTTAGATTTGCTTTGCTTCTGCTCAAACTGTACGCTTGCACTCAGATATATTGCGGCTTACAGCCCTACTGTACCCAAATACTACAGCCCTACTGTACCCGAATATTCGTTCGTTGGAGTACTATTCGGGTTTCAATTTCGTTATTCGGATATTCGTTTTTTTTCAAATTGAATTTATTGAAATCTCCAATATCAACGTAAGAGCTTGTGCCTCATCGGGGGGTGCTAAGACTTAACCATAAACGTTATCGTTTACTTTCTCCGTCTTTATATGTAGATATTACTTTTCTCCGTTAATCTCTGTCACGTTGTTTCCAAAGCAACAACAACTTCCTGTCAACTGCGCTAACTCTCCTTCAAAATAAAAGCATGTCCATAAATAGGAAGCCAAACCAAATTACACTTAAGACATATACAACTGCAACGAAAGTAACAAACACAATGTGATATCCTTTTCAATTTCAAAGAACACAAATTGGGTTACATTAACAAATAACTATAAAACAACAATACTGTAGAATAACAAAATGAATGCCGTGAATACACCGAAATACACGTGTTGAAGCGGTTCGCTGCTGATTATTACGCCCCCCCACGCGGGCTGAATAATCGAATATTCGCTGCTGATTACTACCGAATATCCGGAGCCCGAAAAATTGTATTCGGGACAGCCCGTCATCGAGTGCCGCCGAAGGACTGTTCCAATCTCCAGCATACTTGGAATTCCACCGAGGCCGCGTCCTTGGTTTGGGGGAAATTTCGAGGCTGCACATGGGTAGACTTCGCGTCCTTAAAATCCCCACAATGCTTTGCGCATGGACCAATTTCCCCAAATCTGTGGCGGAAGATGTAAGGCGGGGCCTCTCATATGACGCACACCTGCACACTTGCTAGCCTGTTCCACTCTTTGTTTTCCGAATGCCAGGAAGTATTCTTGCCTCGCTTCTGAAGCAAGATGCTCGGCTCGGCTGTGCAACCAAGCCAGCATCCTCGCGATTGAGAAACGGCCATGGTACTGACACCAGGCCCAGCAACCTAACGGAAGTGTAGTACCGCCGTTTGGCCACAACGAATATTTTACTCAGAGTCCGGCGCACTTCCTGGGGGCTTGGATCAGGCCTGCCTTAAGCTGCCATCAGGCCCTGGTGATGTTTTGTAGGCCCCCTATTTAAACAACAAATCACACACACACACACACACACACACACACACACACACACACACACACACACACACACACACACACACACACACACACACACACACACACACACACACACACACACACACACACACACACACACACACACACACACACACACACACACACACACACACACACACACACACACACACACACACACACACACACCAGTAGATGAGAATGATCATTATCTCCGGTGGATTAACACTAGTTATGTAAAACAATGCACACAACACATTTAAACCTGCACAGGCTACTGGGAATCAATTAATAGTGCAGCATTGCCTTACCTCTTTATAAGTGCTTCTACGCTTCTAGTGCTTTTACGTCCCTCCTGTCTGTTTTTCCTGTCTGAATTATTATTTTAATCACTTTCTGCTGACACTAAGTGGGGCTGTGCCCCTAATGACGAGTCGCCACTGAAGGGTCCTAGTTCAGGACGGTAGGATGAGGAAGTATGTCACAGTGATGCTTACTGCTACAGTACTCTTTTAGGGCAGCTGCAGTATGTACTCAAATGTAAAAGAAAAAGTATGCAAGAGTCGTAGTACAGCATTTAATCAAACTGTCAAGTCATATGTCAATGTAGTGTCTCAATTAGTAATACTATTTAATAAAAGTTAGTGTAATGTGTAAAACAATAAATTAAATCAGTATAGTATAGTATCTCGTCAAATGTAAAATGCTGTTATGCAATTATGTACTTTAGGATACAATTGGGACTACTTCACCCTTACATTGCACCTTGAACTTTTACTGCGCAAAAAGATTGTGGATCAGAACAGGAAACATGTTAGAATGCAGCAGATGCAGAAAGACACCCTGGTATGTCTGCCATAGTGCTTCATATGGGGACATGGAACCAAACTAGAGAATGCAATTCCTGAAGAAATTGCTAGTGGGAATGCTTTATGCTGAAAAGCTGACGCTAAACTGCTATGCTGAAATGTAATGTGTAAGAAGAAAGTGAAGAATTTAGATTGAAATGATACATGACCTCTGGGGGCTTGAATGTGTGATGAGTGAAGAAAAGAAAGTAAAAAGGGTTGGAAAAGCAGCAGAGAGAGAGAGAGAGAGAGAGAGAGAGAGAGAGAGAGAGAGAGAGAGAGAGAGAGAAAGATATTGAGGAAGAGGAAGATATTGAGGAAGAGGAAGATGGAGAGAGGAAGATATTGTGGAAGAGGAAGATGGAGAGAGGAAGATATTGAGGAAGAGGAAGATGGAGAGGAAGATATTGAGGAAGAGGAAGATGGAGAGAGGAAGATATTGAGGAAGAGGAAGATGGAGAGAGGAAGATATTGAGGAAGAGGAAGATGGAGAGAGGAAGATATTGAGGAAGAGGAAGATGGAGAGAGGAAGATATTGAGGAAGATAGAGGAAGATATTGAGGAAGATAGAGGAAGATATTGAGGAAGAGGAAGAGAGAATGAAATGAAGGCCCAATCCCAAACCACTCCCTCGACCCTACCCCTCCGTGGCGGAGTGAACTCCGTCTGTAGCCACACTCGCAGCTGAATGAGGCTCCCTCCTGTCAGATGGAGGGAGTAAATACAGCGGCAAGCTTTGGGACAAACTCCCCTCTCTCCGGCAGAAACAGGAAATGCCGTAACTGTATGTAACAACGGTTTCAAATCAGCATCTCTTAGACAACAAATGTAAATTAAGAACTAAAATAAAACTCCAAACATCTTTCATTGTGTTACTTTTTTGTAAAGCTCTTTTAGTTTTAAACCTGATGTTTATAAGCTTCTTTGTTTTTGCAACAGTCTGTAAATATACACAACTTTATAATAAAATGCACACATTTACCTTTTTCTAGACTAAACACAGGTATGATCCTAAGTTAAAAAAATATGAGGTTATCATGAGGTTGTTAACATTGCAATTTATCAGTGGATGTTTGCTGGAACTACTTGTAAACAGCGTGTTTCCTGACGGACACACACAGCGTTGAGACCGGTCAGGTAGGGCAGCAGGTGAAGTCAGCACCGATGCAGACTCGCTGTTTGAGGGCTTGATAGCCCACTCCCCCTCCACACCGCTCCACACTCGTTGGTTTGGAACAGCACTTAATGTGGCGGACCCTCCTCGCGAACGCGCAAACGGAGGGGTAGTGTGTAGGGGTAGGGTGTAGGGGGCGGTTTGGGATTGGGCCGAACAGTTAGAACTGACTCTTGATCGCCCTCTCTCTCTTCTCTTGAACGGCATATGACACCCCATAATTGACGTAGAGCTGTTGAGGGCACGACCATTAACCATTATCTGAAGTCTGCTGCTCTGAGCATGTCAGTTGGAGTGATGACATCATCGTGTTCTATTACACAGGTGTTTATAGTTGAGCTAACGAGCTCTGTAGAGATCAAAGGTTTGCATTGTTCTGAATGAGAGATAAACCTCTTACATGTGAACGTTTTGTGGAAGAACGATAACAGATATCTGTGAAATTTCAAAACGTGAAGCATGTCAAGGAAGTTGAGTATCTGAAGTGTGCGGCTGCTGCTGTGAGGAAATATCAGCCTGAAATTACAATGGGTTTTAATGGAGGCATGTTGAACGTTTTTGTCACTTCATGCCCTCAAGAGGCATTTTGTTTAATTATTTTGCTTAATTATTTGTCATTTTTCAAGCTACGAGATGTTTTCCTACGTTTGTCATGAAAAATTATGTCTCAGGAATGTAGGGTTTGGGAATTATGGCAGTTTTAAAAAAATATATGAAGGCAAATTTCAAGATTTGCTCCACTCTAGCTGTGACATCACGCACTCTGCCTTAACGAGCTGCACAATGTTAAAGTTAAAATGTTAAAAATGTGACGTATTATGGGATGTATCTCTGGAATTATGAAAGTTATGAATGATAAAAGTAATAGCCTGCGATTCCCGACCGAGCTGAACGTTTTGATGTTTGAACGGAGTTTCTGCGATGTTGAATGTGGGAGAAGAGGGCCAAAATAAGTCGGCGGAATAATACACTTTTTGTCCGTAGCATAACATATAGTTGGAATGCTGCATCAGCAAAATATATAAAAAGTCTCAATCTTATCTACTAGCAGAGCTGGGAGGAGTACTCACATCTTGTACTTAAGTAAAAGTAGGAATACTCTGTTACAGGTTAAAGTCCTTAGTCAGAATGTTACTCACATACAAGTACAAGAGTATTACCATCTAAATATAAAGTACCAAAAGTGAAAGTAGTCCTTGTGCAGATTGGTCCATTTCAGAATAATATATGATATGTTTTATAATGATTGATCATTAAAGTGTTCTCAAAGCTGGTAAAGGTGCAGCTAGTTTGAATGACTTTGTATACTGCAGGGTAGCTTGTGAATTTACTCCAGGTGGAACTAAAGTCTGATTTAAGACTTGATTATATTTATTTTATCATTAATCCATATCTGCATACTAACTAAAAGGTACTAGGTAAATGTAGTGGAGTAAAAGGTTGATTTTTACATCTGAATTGTAGTGGAGTAAAAGTACAAAGTAGCGCAACATTAAAATACTCAAAGTACAATACCTCAAAATTGTACTTAAGTGCAGTGGTACTTTACACCTCTGTCTACTAGAAAGCAAATAAGCAAACAAAACATGGTGTGTTTATTCCTTACGTTTATTTGACGTTAAAACAGAAGCAGGCTGACAGAAATTGCAATTTACCAAAACAGCTAAATGTGATAAAACAAAAGGAGCTCAGATCACACAGAGTGGGGCTGCGGTCACTCTGCAGACAGAAGTAAGTTAGATGCGTTTCACAAACCTTCTCTACGCTAACTGGAGGTGTTCTTTCTTACTAACGTGTCAGCAGAGAGTGGCGCAGAGCAGACGGAGGATGAGACAGGCACTTCAGGCAAGATGGAGTTTGCCGAGCTACAGCAGGATCACCCATGAGACATTTCACCTTTATTTTTCACAATAAAACAATCGGAGGAACGATATGGATAGTACTTTTATAAAATGACCCCTCAGGACCGTTTTACTTGGTTCACATTGTTGTCTTTCAAATGAGGAACAAACTGAGGCTCTGAACAAAAAAACAAACAATTACTCAGTGGAGTGACTCAGATGACTCTCGGAAGTCTAAAATGAGACGGGAGATAAGGTGTGGGCCGATGAAACTTAATGGCAAAGCTTCAAAACTCATGTAAAAAATATGTTATGTTGCCTTTAAGTGAAATCGAGGTTATCGTTATTAACAGTTTGATTAAGTAGAGTTCAAGTCAATTTGCCAGAATAATCCAGAAGTACATGAGGAGCAAAAACGGATGCTGAAGTGTGGTGTTAAAGGTAATAAAACATGCTATAATGCCAAGGCAAAGTATTTTAAACCCTAACATGAAGAATCTCTGCAATCATTCCACTGAGAAACACACACTCACAAGCCTCAGGTACTTTATTCATCCTGCGTTGTGAAGAACATTCTGTGGGAAAAAGATGTTCGTAACTTTGAATTTAAACAGAGTAAACCTTTACTGATCACCACATTTTCTAAAGTGGGCTTCAATATGGAGTTTATTTCATGAAAAAAGCCCGGTGTTTATACTGAGAGACAATGGGTCCAACTGTTTCCAATGTGTTTTTTACTTCGTCTCATTACTTTTGGCTCTGTGATTGTTTCACACCTTTGTACATTGGATGTCCTAACCCTTACTGCATCACAATATATAAAGTAATAAATACCAGAATAAGATGGTATTTATTCTCACCCCCTCCTACCTGGAACCTAACCAGCTGCATTTGATGTCCTGGCAAAAAAAGCTTTTTCGGTTAATGGAAACTTATTAACTCATTTTTATGCCTCAGACATCAGCAAAAGGAACTGGGATCATGTGACCTAAATGTAAGAAGTCATACAAGTGGACTTTTCACATTTAAGTTTCTGCATTAAGCAGGAGCTCCACTTTAACAAATCATGTCGGTAAAGGTTTATTCTGATTTAGAATTATAATGCAATCATTCCAGCTCGTTTAAATAACCATAAATACTCAGTGACACTGAAACCGCGTTTGTTCCAAAGACAGTAAACAGATCAAACGTGTGCTCGATGTGAGTGAGGCTTTGTGGGAAACGCAGGTCGAGTCTTTGACTTAAAGCGGCTGAATCGTGTCGCTGCACGGCTGTTTTCCGGGCTCTTATTCTGAAACTAGAGTGACTTTGCTTCCTCTTGGTTGTGGACGCAGTGCAGTGAGCGACTCTTACCGCCCCTCCGCCCCCCCCCTGACGCTCCTCACTTCCTGTGCGCCTCCTCCAGCAGCTTCATGGCAGCACAGTTGTTGGGCTCCACTCGGAGCAGCACGTTGATGCTGTCCTCGCAGGCTCGGATGTCCTGCAGGAATACAACAGGACATTAAGGGTTAGGAACTGAAACGATAATATTGTGGGCACCGTTGTAAGACCATTTTAGACCACTGACAATGATAATATATAATAATAATTCAAGTACATCCTTTTTTATTGAACATTCAACATTGCAAATGAAAAGTAATATAATATTTAAATATATAAATTATATATAATAATTAAAACAAATAAATTCAATTGTAAAACATTTATTAAATAAATCACACACAACCAAAACAATAAATTAAATAGACTCAGGCTGGAAAACAGAGCTCTCTTGTGGCCAAAACACGCAATTGCATTTGTGAAAATGCAGTAGTAAAAAATGCTCCCAAAAAGTTGGGAAGGTGAGGGCTCTCCATCTCTAGCTGCCGGACTTGAATGAGCCATACCGGCTCATTTAAGTCCGTAGGTTCGCCTCGTTGATTTGGCTTAAATCCAAAATATTCCCACACCGGAGATGTGGAATTAGGTTTTGCAACCAATTCCATTTAACTTAAAATTCACCTCGAGTAAGTCCCACGTTGTCTCCTACTTGTCTCTATATTATTCATTTGGCTGCTACGCTGTTGCACGCGGAGTTTCCTGACCTGGCTGTGTGTGAGCCCCGCCCCTCACAGCTCGCCTGGCTAAAATGCTGGTCACATCCTTATGTAAACAAACACGCATATAAACGGCAATTTATCGAGGTCAGAAAAGTTATCGAGTTCATTTTTATTTATCGCACGATAAGTCAATTAATTGCTTATCGCGACAGGCCTATGTGGTAGAGCAAAGGTACATACCCTAAAGTACTATCTTATCTTACATGATTTACCTTTGAATTATTGTGGAGTAGAAATACACAGTAGCAACATTTTGAAATACTCAAGTATAGATCCTCGAAATTGTACTGAAGTACAATACAAAATAATAATAATAGACTTTATTTATTTGAGATCTAAATAAAGCAACGATAATTCGGTTCTAATTTGTTTAGTTTTTCCATTTAAAAAATAACAAAAAGTACCGATTCAAATACTGTTAAAGTACCGGATCGAATAAGCAGTACGGATAAGAGTAGTAGTACCATTACAATCTTAACGATACCCATCCCCAAGTATCCCTAGTGTTGAATACTGATGGGTAGAAGCTGCTGGAGGAGAAACTACAGGAAATATCAAGGGGGAATATGCTTTTAATGTGTCCCCTGCACCTTTAAAACCAACATGTGATTATTGTGCATGTGTGTGAAGGTTGGGCGCTCACCTTGAGCCCCAGGTAGGCCTGAGACTTCCTGTAGAGCGCCTTGATGTTCCTGCTGTCCATCATCAGAGCCTCGTCACAGTCTCTGATGGCGTCTCTGTACTGCTTCACCGACACGTAACACAGCGCCCTGATCACACACAAAATCTAATTTATTCAAACTGTTCTGTGAAGCAGTATGTAATTATGGTGTCCGAAGGCACTACAGATATAAATCGTATTATTATTGTTTTTCCCCTGTTTTAAAAATTGTCATTGGCAATGAAAAGTCATGTCATAACATTTCTGTGTCTTGTTTATTTATTTATTAAATGTGTTAAGCTCCCTTAACCCAATACATTTTCATCCACAGGAATTTCTGAATTTCGGCAGGCATTTGTTAAAATATATTATTTATTTTAAGGACGTTAGAGATGTCACAAGAGCCAAGACTGACTCACTATTAACAGATCTGGAAGATGCTGCATCTTTTTGTCACAGCAATATAGAATATAGAGTCAATGATGAAAAAACTTTATTCAAACATTGATAAAAAAAAGTGTATGTTTAAGCACATGGGATTAATTGTGATTTTTTAAATTGATTTTCTAGTTTTATGGCATCGAATTGGTATAGAGAATCATGGAATAAGGTATTAGTACAGACTAATAGATTGGTAGTTTTGTGACATTGCTATCTCAACCATAGTTCCAGCCAACAGTAACACTACTCTATGAGGATTATAAAGTGATTCAAATCTTCAGATATGAATGAGGACGGTACCCACAGAGTTTCCGTCAGCCGGTAATTACCGGAATTTGACCGGTAAAATATGCTGAAGACCGGCAAATCTAAATCTCTCCGGTCAAAATGTCCGGTCAAAATCATTTCCCCTTAGCGCAATACCGCATCAGTTGCGCCACTTATGTGACAGACAAGAATATTCAATTCTAATGTCTAACATTTAATGTGGAGAAAGAGATGTCATGTATGGGTTGATTGTGCGTTGATCTGTTGGTAATGCCTCGGGGTTCCGGTGGGCATGTAAACAAATGCATAATGCTGCGCTATACTTTGCGGCCTCACCCGGTTGCATAGCGACGCTTATTGTTTAGGTGTCTTTTAATAAGCAGGTAGTCATATCATTAGCTAGAACTAGCTAGAACTGATTGATATGGACATAAACGCGAGTGAAGTCTAATCTGACGGGAGAGAGATCAGCTGCTGCTGACGAGTCGACACGCAGCTCTGCATGATCACTAGGGATGGGTATCGTTTGAAATTTATCGATTCCGATTCCGGTTCTGCTTATCGATTCCGGTTCTTATCGATTCCCCGTTTCGATCCCAAAATTGTAAAAGAAAGAGGTCAAACGTTTAGATAACAAAAATATCTTTATTCATTTAAGCTTTAACTGACATTTTTACAAATAAAAAATATACATGCAATACAAATGTATTGCACAATAGCTGTGCTTTATTTTAACTGAGCTATGCCTGTGGCAAGCTATTAACAGGCATTACACTGTGCCTAGTCTTTTTCTTTTTTAGTGTAGTGGAGCCTCACTTTAGAGCGTTTACCGCGATCCATCTTTGGTGTTATGAAGTGACTGAGCTCCTGAACTGTCTACGGGAGGGCGGGGGGAGCCTCGCTGCGGGGAAACTGTGGACCTCTGTCGCCTGTCAGCGCAACTTACATGATGCCGTTTAAAAAAATGAAGGGCGGTGCCGGCCGTCAGCGTACCGAGCCGGCCGTCAACGGCCGGCAGCGTACCGAGCCGGCCGTCAACGGCCGGCAGCGTACCGAGCCGGCCGTCAACGGCCGGCAGCGTACCGAGCCGGCCGTCAACGGCCCGCTGACGACCGGCCGTTCTGTGATTCTCCAGAACACACAGATGGCCAGTCCGCCGCTGAATTCCACCGGGTCGCCGCGGCGCAGACGGACCCGGTGGAATACAGGGTCTACCGCGTTGAGGAACCGTTAAGCAGAACCAAAATTGTGTATTTTGTATGGGTACCCGGTATTTTCTTATCGGTTCTCATCTGGAACAGAGTTTCGGTTCCCAACCCTAATGATCACCTGCAGCGGTGAGCGGAGCAAAACACACACTTCAGGTTAGAAAATCACACTTAGCTATTTTAATTACCTCTCAAACTACCTAAACTAGTTATAAATATGTTTAGTTTTACTGGATCCGCGAGCTGCATGATACTGACGGGCTGTCAGGAGAGAGAGAGCACTCCCGTATTATTCCCGTGTTATTATAAGTTACTGTAAACTTTTGAAAAATGTAGTTAATATACTATAATTAGTTTGTTTAATATCGAATCATATCAATTTGTTTTAAAGCTCAATAAATAACAAAGACCTTTGACCGGCACTTTTCTCATTTTGTCCAGAAGATTTCAACTTTAACGGACATGTTGACCGGCAAAAAAAGATTATAGCGGAAACTTTGGGTACCCACCGGTTGGTGAAGGTGGTGGGCTCGGTGGGATTGAGTTTGAGGCTCTGGCTGTACTTCTCGATGGCCTTCTTGTGTTCGCCTTTCTTCACCAGAGAGTTGCCTTCTTCTTTCAGGAGCTGAGCTTTCTTCACGTCTTTATCACTGAGAGCTGACAACAGGAGGGAAGAACAAAAGGTCAAATCAGAAAAAGATCCAAATCAGAATTTGTGCAGAAAATAAGTGAAGTTTATCTAAATTCTAAAGGTGAAGAGTTGTGCAGTTTTAAAGTGGCAGTATTGTGCTCAAATGTGAAAAAGTGCCATATAATTAACATCTAAATCAATTTTTAACAATTCTGAAGTTACTCCTAAATCTGAATACAAACAAAAAAAGAAAATGCTGTTGATAGAAATCAGAGAATGTACTAACATGCAGCTGGTCTGTACTCAGAATGTTGTATACATGTTTGAATTTAAAAAAACTATCACTTAACACAATTTCAAAAAATTATTTACACGTCTTCTCCACATCATGTAAATAATGCTCAAGACAAAAGGCTTTAACCCGTTAAGCCCTGAGCCTGTTTTTCAGGTCTCAGGCTCGAAAATGACATTCCCAGAACAAATGACCATATCTTCCCTTCTAAAAGGGTTAAATTAATAATCTTTTTTCTCAAAGTAATGATAAACCTGTGAGTTGGATGTAGACAAGTCAGAATCAATATAGATGTTTTTTTATTTTAAAGGAAATTGAGATTTTACATAGTAAAAAAAACTGTAAATTATAGTGTCCGTCCAAAAATTCTTTTTTACAGATAGTGAAAACTACCCTTGGATGATGGGTTAGTAGACTAAAAGCTTTAGGAATACAAAGTACAACATATAATAAGTACCCTGTATCAAGATTGATGCAAAACAAGTGACATTTGACCTTTATAGAGAGATTTAGCCAAAAAAAAACACTTCTGGGGTCATTTGGGTGGATTTGACCTATCTCTGGCCCCCCTTGCTCAATTTTGATGAATGAAATCTCTTTATAACCGCTAGAGCCAATGGAATCGAGGGAAAGTTATATACACACCAAAACGTTAACAAATAAGGAGTGACGCGTTACCAAAACCGGAAGCTGCATACACTCTGGTGGCTACCATTAGCAACTAACTTTTCCGCTCCGATTTTTACATAAAAATGGAATTATGGATTATAAATAATTTTTTCAAAGGCACAGATACATTATCAACCTATGGATCAACAGTTGTAGCATTTTTTTTCTTCGTTTTAATGCCATTGAACACGTCTTTTGACCTAATTGACAGCTACGGTGAGACGATCTGCCGTAAATGCTCCGTAAAGGTACGTGTTGTGATGTCTGTGTTTGCTTCCCCTGTCGCAAGTTCGGATCGCTCAGTGATGATACTATACCTAAATAATCTGTGGAGTCTCAGCTTTAATCGGATTAATTGTATGTGCAGCTACGATAAGTAATAAGGGTATCTTTATCTTGAATTGTGTGCCGCAGTGTGTTAGAATTTTTTCGCTCAGGGGTCATTTAGACGCTTCTTATGAGACTTGCGTTTTGTTTTGGTAAAAATGGTTCATATTAGGGATGCTCCGATCGCCAATTTTGGGGCCGATCGCCGGAATCAGTATTGGCCGATACCGATCGCCGATCCGATCGAGTGGGCGGGGCCTAAATGGAAGATTTAAACATCACTTTAAATCTTTCATTTAAAGTGATGTTTAAAACTCAGTTAATGGGGCTCATTCACTGGAGCTTCCACAAACAATCAACTTAATTATTACATTCAAATGATGTATATTATTCAAGTTTACATTCACTTTGGATAATACCACGGGAGAAATGAGCGGAAGCGCTCTCTTTTCCTCTCTCTCTCCCTCCTGACAGCCCGTCAGTATCGTCTCATGCAGCTCGCTGATCCAGTAATGTGTGAGGCCGACAGTGAAGAATAAACATATTTATAACTAGTTTAGCTTGTTCCAGAGGTAGATAAAATAGCTAAGTGTGTTAGGTCTAACTCTTGTGTGTTTCGCTCCGCTCACCGGTCCGTCACAGCGGGTGGAGCTGCAGGATTTCTGCTTCACACACACGTTGCATACCGCTATTTTACTGTCTTTTTCGGACACCTTAAAATAATGCCAGACCGGTGAAGCCATTTTGGCGAGCTTGTTTTGCCGCGTACAGAGAAAAGTGTCAATTTGCAGTATCCATAAGGGGCCGTACACATGCCGCAGTTTCTGCGTGGCTGTTTCTTTAGTTGAAAGCCCAGTGGCATCTGTTCATCTGTCATACAGTCAATAACTTTGTTGTTATTAGCATCTGGTTAGCTAGCTATGCTAACGAATATAGGAAGCTTTTTCTACAACCAGTGAGGTAAAGGCACATCTTTATATGATCATTATAAAAAAATAAGAGAATAAAGTAAACGGGTATAAAATACTATATGAGAGTAAAAAAAGGTTGTTATTAATAAACAAGAATACAGTTTAAAAGGAGAGTGATTTGTAAAATATCCAAAAAGAAAAAGAAAATCTGCTTACAGTTCTGTTTCATATGGGTGTTTAGAGATGTATCCATTAGGGGTTGACCGATAATCGGCCTGGCCGATATTCCGCATTTGACCGATTATCGGTATCGGCCTTTTTTTGATCAAATTGCCGATAAAACTTTGGCTCTGATGCGGCCGTTTCTCTGGCTGCAGTCACCACTCTAGTCTGTGTACACGAGCAATGTCCCGCCCACAGCGCTATCTGATAGGCTATTACTGAAGTGTCAATCAACACTGAAGATTTTCCGGGCGGGAGCCAGCCAGAGAGGCGGGACCTTCTCAGATTACAGGCAGGTGCGAAAGAACGCAGACACAGGCTGAAGCAAGCAGCAGCGCTGAGCGGCAGAGCCATACATGTGTTTCGAAGGTAAGTCAGTTGAAAGCCGAAGTTCAATAAACATCCCAATCCCCTATGCTGAAGTTGCAAAAACACCACGATCTTATGATCCAATTCTATCAGTTTCCCAGTTACACAGGGACGCGGGAAGTCAGTCAGAGTTGGGGGTGCGTGCAGCGTCTCGCAGCGGAGTAACTGTGGTGCGGAGGGGGGGGGGGCTGCGAGTGGAGCCTCGCAGTTTTTCAGGTTGATATGTGAAGCTCATTAGCTAGCCAACATGTATCTAGCAAATGTTTAGCAAAATATTAGAAGTGAGGCTACTAGACTAACGTTAGGTAACCTAGGTTAGGTTAGGTGAGTGTAATAGCCTCACTTTTAATATTTTGCAAAACATTAGCTAGCACTAGTGTTTTGCCGTTGCTAGCAGCTTATTGGGATTTTATGCTAGATAGACAGGCATTGTTTTGATATAATAAATTAAGCATTATTATTAGTTAAGCATGTCAGCCTGCAGCCCCACTTTTAACTCTCCGTCTCTCTCCAACTCATTGCAGATGGCTGCACTAAAGAAAAGGGCACAGAGAGAAAACCAGTTGTAAGATGTTTAAAAGTTAATTAAACATAATATATGCTTAAATGCATTTCAAAGAAGTTGTGTTGGAGTTTGTGTTATTCTACATTTTGACACCAAGATTTTCTGATTTTACTGCAAATGTATATCGGTTCCAAATATCGGTTATCGGTCTCCTTGATTACTAATAATCGGTATCGGTATCGGCCTTGAAAAAGCCATATCGGTCGAACCCTAGTATCCATAGATCTCTTAATGTTGCTCTCAAAGTGCACCAGATTGATGCTTTTAACTTCAACATTTAAAAAAGATCTTTCCGGGGGCCATGTAAATGGCCCTTAGGCGCTTTCACACGAAGTACTTTGCAGTACTTAGTTCTGATGAACTAAAGAGCAGATCGCGTTCACACTGGAATAAGTCCCTGGGGGAGGATTAGGCAAATGAAGCCGCTGACGTCACTTCTTCTTCTTCTGCTGCTGCTTTGGGTTTACTGGCAGGCCGCAAACAACTTCACGACGTATACTGCCACCCGAAGTCCCCGGAGTTGGGCACTGGCTTCAGTAGAAGCTGCTGGGACTCCCAGCAGCTTCTACTGAAGCCTTCCGAGTAAATCGCCAGAACGCCGACACCTCCTCATCTCCACCGCTCCCACGTTTAATTTTGTGTTGCCATAAGTTAGTCTCTCTCCGTTGGTGCACTGGGCTAATGCTAATAATGCTAATGCGAGCAAATAAAATGGCGGCTTCAAAAAACGTTTTGAGAGTTTTACGGGCCGTGGTTTGCAATCCGCCCAGCCAATCAGAAATGGGAACCTTTTGGCGCATTTCCACTACACGGCCTCGCTCGGTATGGCTAGGCCTCGTTAGGACTGGCTCACTTTATGGCACATTTCCATTACAGTTTAGGAACTGGGGTAGTATCTATAGTAACGCAGTGTAGGCGGAGCCGTGACGTCATCTTCAATGAGAACCCCAGAAAAACAACACAGCCGTTAGCTGTTAGCCCTCAGAGCTCACAGCTCCTCATATATGTTCAAAAACTAGACAAAAGTTAAACAAGTACACACCACAGACTGCCTGTGTCATGGCGAATACAGTCGCTGCTTTATTTATGTCTGTATAGGCCGTTGTGAGTGTGGACGGTCGGAGCATATACTGCGTTAGCTTAGCCAATCTCCATTTAGAAAACACACATTTTAAAAGGTTTTTCGCCTGCCGTCTGTCTGCAGACTCGTCAAAGCATTAATTCATGGTTTTTACTAACCGGTATCAGTATGTTGTTACTTCGGCATCATTTAGAAACGTGTATTACAATTAAATCACGGTCAAATATGTCCATCTTGTTGTAGTTGTAGCCCCCTTGCCAGCGATTCTCTCTCTAGTTTAGCATACTCAGCCCGACTCAGCCTCGTTGTCTCTGGCCCTAGACCCACGATTTTATGAGGCCAGAAAAACTGTGAATTAGGACCCACCGGCCGGTACTAGGCCAAGTGGAAACGCAACCAAAAACGGGCCGCTGACGTCACAGCCCTCTTAAACCGTGCTCCGCGCTGTAGTGGAAACGCGCCATTTTTCTCCCATGAAAGTACCTGCTCTCTAGCAGGTACTGAAAAGGGGGTGGAAAGGTTCTCATGAACTAAGTTCTAGTTCCGGATTTTTTGAGTGTGAACGCAAATGTTCGGAACTATATCGCTGCAGTGTGTGTGTGTGTGTGTGTGAGTCTACATAATGTTATGTAGACTCCTGCACTGCTATTTTGCACTCCTGGTCAGATGACTAAACTTACATTTCGTCACTAATATATGTACTACGTAATGACAATAAAGTTGAATCTGAATCTGATATCGGAACTATACTGGGAAAAGTACTCCGGTGGAAAAAGGTTCCTCACCCCTGTTTTAGATACATAAAAAGACAAATCATATTTGTGATCATGGGCATAAAGAAGGAGCTGCATAAACGTGTAGTTGCCATATTGGGATTTGGTTGAATTGTGCAGAATGAGAGGACACAACAGAAATCTTAAATGTCCTCACCAGGTTTGCTGGTTTGTTGGGTGCCGTTCTGTGTGGGTGCAGCGTTTGGTGGCGCTGCGTTGGCTTGGGCTTTCTGAGCAAGTTTTTCTCTGACAGACATGGGAACGGCGGGGATGGGAGGAAGCTTTTCCCTCCATGACAGACCGTCTGCCTCTGTGAGCGCCTTCGTCATCCTAACAAATAAAAGAAGAAATGTAAAAAGGATGGGAAAATAATCTGAATCATATTTTTTAGTTCTTTATGCGTAAAGATACAATCCAGGCTACTTTCACCATCAGAAAGTGCAGTTCAAAAAGTAGCATGTGCTACAACAGGTTGACAAAAACAACCTGAAATATAGATAGATAATAAGATATATAAAAGCACAAAACACACTACATTGTGAATACAACTTTTTTTGTTCTGTAATGAAAAACCTTAAGAAACATATTTATCCAACAGCAGATACAATTTTGGAGAAACCGACAGGAGTACCAACAATATACTGCAGTAAATCGGTGCACAAGCTAAACATTGTTTAGCTAAAGTTTACACTATATTTAAAAAAATGTAACTGATAACTTTGCCCTGAGATGGCTGTTTCTAGAATTAACTGAAGATATTTTCTGCTCTACTCAAAGCCACCAGACTCCATTGTCATTTTACCTTGCAGTACACAGGAGAATACCGCTGCCTCGATGGGTTTGTTAGTTTGCGCTAATATGTTACTTGTTTTGTTGTTGTTTTTTAGTTATTAAAAAAGGAACGTTTGAATTCATCCAGTTAAGCCCCGAGCCTGTTTTTCAGGCCTCGGGCTCGAAAATGACATTCCCAGAACAAATGACTATATCTTAACTTCTAAAAGGGGTAAATTAAATATCTTTTTTCTCAAAGCAATGATAAACCTGTGAGTTGGATGTAGAAAAGTCAGAATCAATATAGAATTTTTTTATTTTAAAGGTCCCATGTCATGGCCATTTCTACTGATCATAATTCCATTGTTGAGGTCTACTAAAATAGATTTATACTGTGCAATTTTCCAAACTCAAATTGGTTTCTCATACAGCATCTCTGTATAGTATGTGTATTCACTCTCTGTCCTAAACGGCTTGTTGGATCTCCTGCCCCCCCCTCCCTATGAGCCCAGTGGCCGTCTGCGAGACAGCGAGACACAGCGAAACCAGGCCGAACACACACACCCGCAGCCTGGCTGGGAGTTTGTGTGTGTGCTCACACACCGACTCACAGCCTCGCCGCGTCCCGCCGTCTCAGGGAGGAGAAATCGGCGGAGCTGCAGCTGAGAAAAGATCGAGTGTGTGTGAGGAAGTCCGCGGATTGGTCCATTTGGACCAATCCGCGGACTTAACCCAACGGCTCCGCGGACGTAACGTAACGGCTCCACGGAATGGCCCATTTGGACCAATGGGTCCATTTGGGTATGGGCACGTCACTGTACCCAGGAAGAAAAAGAGAAATCTCCAACGAGGCGTTCTGGGGCAGCATAGACAGGTCTTTTATGTGTTAGAGTTTTACTCGCTACAGGGTGTACTTTGAGGGTTTGTGACTCTGCAGACCGTTTACATGCAGAAAAACCTTCATAACACACAAGGGGATGGGTAATAACCGGATAAGCATGACATGGGACCTTTAAAGTAAATTCAGATTGAACATAGTAAAAAAATGTAAATGACAGTGTCCGTCCAAAAGAAAACCATTACTTATAGTGAAATCCACCCTTGAATGATGGGATAGTAGACTAAAAGCTTTAGGAATCCAAACTATAACAGTTAAACCAGTCACTCCTGGGATCTGTGAGGTTTTTCTCTATGGAGTGGCGTGGCTTTTAAGATAGCATAGATAACAACTACAGTTAGCATTTGAAAAAGGGACGTCTTAATGCAAGTGAAGCAGTGAAAAAATTATGAATATAATCTATACTTTAATTTATATTGTTTTATGAGAGCCATCTTTTAGGTCTCTTTCTGAAATATGTTTTGCCTCTGCCCCCGTCCAGGGTTAGGGTTCCTGCTGGTCCCCATGTCCATTTCTTCAAACTAGGGGTATGCCAATCACCATCTACTCTAGGTAAAACACTGACTATAGATATGTACCTCATACATCCCCACTTCAAAGGATACAAACAATCCCCTGAAGAACGGGTTGAACAAATGCCCAGGTACCTGTTGGTGCCGTCATGAGCCGCTGCGATGTTGCAGTCGATCTGCAGAGCCGTCTTGTAGTCGACGTAGGCCAGCCTGTAGCGCTCCAAAGCTTCGTAGGCAGCAGCACGACGGAGCAGGGACTTCACATTGAATTGGAACAGCTCCAGAGACCTGAGAGAAAAAAAATATCAACAGTTTACAGGTCAGATCCATAATAAGCAAGTAAACAGAAAAGGCTCTATCTCCGCTAAAAGTCAAAGCTGCAAGAGACAATGCACAAGAAAACATCCTTACTCCAACAAAATTACTGCTGGCATGAAATCAAACATGCTTCCGATTAGTGCTGGGCGGTATACAATATCATACCAAATACTGGAATTTTACCTCTATTAACCTGTTAAGCCCTGAGCCTGTTTTTCAGGTTTCAGGCTCGAAAATGACATGCCCAGAACAAAAACCCACCTCTGGGGTCATTTGCCATATCTCTGGAACCCATTGGTTGGTTTTGGTGATTGACACCTCTTTTTAACCGTTAGAGCCAATATAATCGAGGGGAAGTTCCTAAATCCACCTACACATTACCATTGAGGAGTGAGAGTGATGCGCACGCAGCTTGCCCAAACCGAACGCTATGTTACGCTATGAAAACTGAAAACTAGGTTTATTGCCATAAATATGAAGAAGGATTATCAGTAATCATTTCAAAGTGACACAGAGAGATTGGATTAACCTTCAGCAGCGTTTATATGAGTTTTAATGCCATTGAACACAACGTTTGATCAGAAAACAGCAAAGGTAAGAAGTATTTGCCGTTTTGGCTACGTAAAGTGGAGTTGTGTGTTGTCTGGTTTTGCTTTCGCTGCCGCGAGTTTTGGTCGCTCAGTGATGATACTTATACCGTTGGAATCTGTGGAATCTCATATGATATCTAGTTTGTGCAGATCCGATGAAGTATAACATATTTATACCGTGAGTTATGTGCTAAGTGCATTAGCACTCTTTTGCTTAGTGCTAATTCAGTGGCTCGGCGTTAGACTTGTTTTGTTTCGGTAAAACATTTACATATCGTCAGGTAGCCGAGTCTCTTCCCGTTAAGTGGGTATGACACATTCATAGTTTGTTAAATGTTAAGAAGCCCTCAGACGCTGTTTCTTGCAAGATGTTGCGGGAGCCCCCGGCTTAACAGGTTATGAGGGGACTCCTTTTACTTCTGCACCACTAAAATGCTTGCTGGGGCATGTGCACTTTGCAGTTCCAGGGAAAAGGGACTAGTTTGTAGTTTGTTTCGCAAAGTTTGTAGAATAAGAAAAATGGCATACATTGTGCAGTTGTTTCATGCATTCTTAATCCTTCACCACATAAGACTCATGAGGGCCACCAGCCGTAAATTGTTTGTTTGTGGGGCCAATAAGTATAATGTGGGAATATTTCCAATCATGGAAAAATACATAAATACCGCAAAACCATTTTAATTTGGAAAACTACCATGATAAAAGTGTTTTATCATACCGCCCCAATCCTACTTCTGATCAATAATCACATTATTAATTTAAAAAAAGAACACAGTGTTTCCGCTGCCCGTTAAACACCTTCATATTTATCAACCCATCGTACGTTCTTTCTCTAACACGTAATGAAGGTTATTAAGCGTTTTAGCTCCTTTGTTGTTAACATTGACCACCATTTTCTCGATGAAGTAAACCAGCCTCCCTGTCTTTGTTCCCTTGCTGCGCTCTTCTCAAATCATGAAAATATGATTTATATACTTTACAATGACAGTATTATGTAGCATATGTATTGCAGGACATGTGTTGGACACACTGTGTCACACAGGCAGGTTGCAGTGTAACAGCAGAGGAGACCCAGGGAATTTTAAATTCTTATATTGCACCACTTAGAACTAACTTGTGAATACAAAAACAATGAAGAGATGATTATTAAATCCTTTTATACAAGAACAGCAATAATAATAATAAAACTGTATAGAGTGATTTGTAAATAAGAATACTCATTAGATCAAATGTTTTCATAAATTAAAAAAGTTCCCAGTGAAATCCAATCGATACCCAACCCTACAGACAACATAAAACATTGTAATAAGTCACAGATGATTACACTTACATATTGCAGTCTTTCACACACTCAGCACAGTTGCCATCTTTTAGATAGCTGGCTGCACGGTTTGAGTACAAAATGCCCAAATCCTCTGGCTCCTTTTTATCTGAAGAGACAAATTAGAGTTTTTAGGAGAAGCATTTAGCCAAACTGGGCTTGTAATCTCAGTCAATAATCATTTTTGCAATTCCCATTTTGAGGACACATAAAGAGAAAGAATCGTAATGCCAAGTGATGAGATGGACAGTTATTATGATAAGATTTAGTAAAAGTGTCAGTTCAAATATATCTGTTATCAAAGTAGGCATGTTTATTAGTATTTTCAATGTGAAATATATGTTGATGGGAAATATTTTTTATTCAAAACGGTTGACACTTAGGTTTCTTTTTATTATTCAACAATTATTTTCCTACTGATATTTTGTATGTATCCCAACAGGTAATATGTAAGCAGCACTTACTGCACTTCTCCAGCTCTTTGATGGCCAGGCTGTAGATATTGATGGCCTCTCCATACTGGCCCGTCTTGAAACTTTCATTTCCAGCTTGTTTCAGCTCCGTCCAGGACTTGGACCTCTGTTTCTGAGGCATCTCTGCTTTTAAACGTTACCTGAAAAGATTAAACACTGGTTAACATTAGGGATGCTCCGATCGCCAATTTTGGGGCCGATCGCCGGAATCAGTATCGGCCGATACCGATCGCCGATCCAATCGAGTGGGCGGGGCCTATGGGGATCTTCCATTTAAAGTGATGTTTAAAACTCAGTTAATGGGGCTCATTCACTGGCGCTTCCACAAACAACAACCAACATAATTATTACATTCAAATGAAGTACATTATTAAAGTTTACATTAACTTGGGATAATAACACGGGAGAAATGAGCGGAAGCGCTCTCTTTTCCTCTCTCCCCTGACAGCCCGTCAGTATCTCATGCAGCTCACTGATCCAGTAATGAGTGACCCGACAGTGAAGAATACATATATTTATAACTAGTTTAGCTTGTTCCAGAGGTAGATAAAATAGTTAAGTGTGTTAGGTCTAACTCTTATGCCCCTTTCACACTAACGCGGTTCCCGTTCTAGCTCCGTGCTAGAGCTTTTCTGGTTCGGAACCGGTTTTTCTTTTCAGCTTCTGTTTTGTTCACACCGCCCAGAGCCCGACTGGTGCTGCTGCGTCATGACGTCACTGTTTACGATTTTCTCCCCAACGGCGTTACGGCGCTCACTACAACAACAATGGGGTCGATGATCGTGTTGCTTTGAATTATATACGAAGCCAGATTAAATTAAATAACGACTTCTCCAACCATATACTTTTTTCCAGAGTGCCGTGGTTCATTGTTTATTAATGTGTTTCAGCGGCATTTACCGACCGCTGCAGTGCTGGCTGCTCTTCCACCGGAGTTTATTCTCCCGTTAGCTCCGGGTTAGTTCACACGGCAGCGGCCGCTGTAAAGTATTCAATGTCTGACTGTCACACAAGCAGCTGATACATATCCCCAATTCCCTATAAGTGAATGTGTTTCAGTCTGAATTGACGCTGTTTGGCATCACAACGCTGTTATGAAAGGCTCTCTGGTATAAAATGGGTGATGTCAGCATAGCAACCAAAGCTAAACTGACTACTTGCTATAGCTATCCTATTGTGGCATAAGCCGTTTTCTACAGGCACATTTTACCGGGCATATTTTTCATTATGATTCTACTTGTGATAGTCGGACATGACAACCTGTGCAGCCCATGTATTGATTCCATCCGATAGCTGCTATAATACAAAACAAAAAGTCTGCCCCCTCCACAATGATCAATAACAGCGAACGGATGGTCAAAGTAAGGTACAAATAAACAGAATCACACGAAGCCTGGTTAGTGTTGCCTGACTTTATAAAGTGTGTTTTTTTTTTACGAGTGTGTGGTCTAGTCACTTTGCTCAGCACTACTGCTTGTTACAACTTTTATTTGCCGTACTCGCCTTTAACCGTTAGCTCAGGTTAATCTCGCCCCCCTCCGACGTAAGCGTGACGTATGCGGTTCTTGCTTCTAGACCAACAATTTTTGGTGCTTGAAACTAACCGGATTCCGGAGCTTAGAGGCGGCTCCGCTGCGGTGTGAACAGGAAAAAAAACGGTGTGAAAGCCCCATTAGTGTGTGTTTTGCTCCGCTCACAGAGAAAAGTGTCATGTATTTTACGTCATAATTTTACGTCATGCGATCAGCTCTCGCGATCGGCATTTTTAGAGAGCACCGATCGATCGGCTGATATCGATCGGCTGATATCGATCGGCTGATATCGATCGGCGGCCGATCGATCGGAGCATCCCTAGTTAACGTCCGTGCTTGGCAAGTCATTTTTGAACAATTTAAAATGAATCGGAACTTTCTAACGCAGCTTTAACAAAAATGTTACTTCAAACCCATCCCATTAAATCCACATTGCACTCAAATCTAGAATGATAATTTTAAAAGAAAACTGTAACTTGCACACTTATATAGTATCCTATGTGTATGTATATTGTGTTAGAAGTAAGTTTGTCTATTAGAGTGTGTTCTAGCTTAGTCTGCGTTTATGTTATGTATTCTATAGATACTCTATAGATATTTATCCTTCAACTGTTAATACATATACATCTAATTTTTATGTTTAATTTTTTATATTTTAACTCGTGCAATGCCTTGTTAACATGTTGCTTTAACAAAAACAATTTCCCAAATTAGGTTCAATTAAGTATTTCTAATCTGAATCTAATCTAATATGACTTTAAAGCAAACATTATATAAATTATATTACAAACTTGTATATAATCAACATTTGCAGCCACAGATTGAAATCTCATTCCAAGTCTCTCTTTTTACATTGTTTTCCTTGAATTTTTCTGTCGAGTTTTTTTTTGGTTTAATTTGCCATGGTAATACGACTCGGCAGTGCTGCAGAACAGGAACCTGCAGCAAACCAATTAAAAGTGCGTCAGGCCTGTTTTAAAAATGTAACAAATGTAATGCTACGTTAATATTTTTCTTATATCGAACAATTAAAACTAAATACAAGTATTGTGTATTTCAGGGGTGTTAAACGACGTTAGTATAAGCTAGGTGCAACCAACAAACTGTAGCTATAAAATAGACACAATGTCGGCCTAACAAATATGTAACGTTTGCTTTTTTGTCCGAACATTACTTTAGCAACATGTTGGTCGAGTGAGGTGTCCCGCTTACCTACATACCGGAAATTCCACTTGCCTAAAATGACATGACATGTTAGCTTAAAAAATAAGTTGTTATAGCCTGGTACGTAGCTGCTAATATTTGCTAAACGCAGAATGACAATTCGATAAAACTAGCACTAAAAGTTCACTTTAAAAGAGAAAACATATCGAATTTGTATCCCAAAGATATGTTTCTGTTTTAGCTAGCACTCTTTTGTTGTTTAACTGCCAAGTTAGCGCGCTAGCTAAATTATGCTAATTCAAGCTACATTTGAGATGGCTAAATTAGCACAAGCTACCAAAGCTAACTATGCTAACATAAGGAGGCTCGCTCACTTCTTACCTGCTCTCGGTTCCTCGGAGAAAAAGCGACACAGTTCTCCTCTTCACGACACAAATGACAGAAAAAGCGACTACCTGTACCCAAAACTATCTGAACGCGTTATTAATACTGACATTACTCTTTAAACTTTTTATTCTCCTTGTTGTTCGTCCTAGCGGGGTTTTCCTCTGCTTACAAGCGGGGTGTGGTAATAAAACTTGCCGGTTAGCTGTAGTTACTTATCGGTTTTTCTTGAGCTACAGCATGGATGAATATGAGCTGCAGCAGTGTTGCTTTCACTTCCCCTTACATGCTGCGTTCAAGTGCTAGGGAGATTGTAGGAGTTTGGATAACAAAGTGCGCCCCCTGGTTGCCACATTGGATGTAACATCTGTAACGGTTTAATACAGTATAAATATAATCAAACATGAAATACACAAATAATTGTTCGCACAAAGACCGCAAGCACAAACTAACAATAAAAATAAACAAAACAGCAAAACCGAAACTACCGGTTTGGAATCAGCAGAGGTGGAAGGAGTACTCAGATATTGTACTTAATGTGTAAAAGTAGAAGTACCAGAGTAGGATTACTCTGTTAGAAGTAAAAGTCCTGCATTCAAAAATACTATTCAATTAAAAGTACAATTGTATTCTCATCAACATATAGTTAAAGTACCAAAAGTAAAAGTAGTCATCCTGCAGATTGGTCCATTTCAGGATAATATATATGATATGTTTTATAATTATTGATCATTAAAGTGTTATCAAAGCTGGTAAAGGTGCAGCTAGTTTTAATGACTTTGTATACTGCAGGGTAGCTTGTGAATTTACTCAAATCTGATTTAAGACTTGATTATATTTCACATCATTAATACAAATCTGTAAAGTAACTAAAGGTATTAAATACATGTAGTGGAGTAAAGTTACACGATTTATCTGTGAATTGTAGTGGAGTAGAAGTACGAAGTAGAAAAACATGTAAATACTCATGTAAAGTACAAGTCTCTCAGGAATCAGTCTATCTCTTCTCATGGATGTGGGATTTCATAGATGAAAATAACTTATACGAAAAATAACAATATAATGTTCTATTATTGTTGTGTTCCTGCTGTTTTGTTTTACTGTTCAAACCAATAACATCTCAAACTAATGTTTAACTATTACCAATTTAACATGTATATATTTGCACTACTGTATGTGTAGGCTATTTGTCAAACATATTATAGACATTGTGTAGGAGCCATTTTATGGGTGTTGTTGGCATGTCAGTTTATTTAAAGGAGAGGTGTCATGCTTTTCCGGTTATTACCCGTCCCCTTGTGTGTTATGAAGGTTTTTATGCATGTAAACGGTCTGCAGAGTCAAAAACCCTCAAAGTACACCCTGTAGGGAGTAAAACTCTAACACAGAAAAGACCTCCCCAAAACGCCTCGTTGGAACTTTCTCATGTTCTTCCTGGCCATTGTGACGTGTGGATACCCAGTAGCCACGCCCAGAGCTATGACGCGATACGGTCATGCGGTACCCGGAACCAAATGGACCAATCCGTGGAGCCGTTACGTTACGTCCGCGGAGCCGTTACGTTAAGCCCCGCTGATTGACGGACTTCCTCACACACACACACTCAGTGCAGGCAGCTCTGCTCTGATTTCTCCTCCCTGGCTACAGGCTGATAACAGACAGTTGGGATCGCGGCGAAATTCTCTCTGCAGACCCATTCTCACAGCGTTTATCAACCTTTTTCTTACTCAATATCAAGCCACACTTATTGTTTTTACTTCGGTTGTGAGTTTGTGTGTGCTCAGGATGAGTTTGGCTGTGTTTCGCTGTGTATCGCTATATATAAACAAGGAAACCACACCTCCACGGAGCTCAGCGCGATTCACAACGTCCCGACCAATCAGAGCACACTGGGCTCACAGGGAGGGTGGGGGCTGTAGCTATTGGAGCTACAACGAGCCGTTTAGTGGAGAGAGTGAATACTGCTGAATACACACACTTTACAGAGATGCTGTATGCGAAACCAATGTGAGTTTGGAAAAATGCACAGTATAAATCTATTTTAGTATACCTCAACAATGGAATTATGATCAGTGGAAATGGCCATGACACCTCTCCTTTAATTTATATGTATAGTGCAATACTATTTTGAACACTTGGTGGCAGGGTTTAGCTGCACCGGGTGTATAAAAGGGGTCATATGTGACAGGAAAGGACGAGGACACAGGAGGAAGAGAGCATACCGAATTCACCAGCCCGGCAGAAGCTCACCACAACTATTGACTGTAATTAAACCTTGGTATGTAAAACGCAAAAAAAAACATAATTCTAAACTGCAGCAAAGGACCGGAAAATCATCTGTTTGTGTCTGCGTCTGGATCACTCTCCACTCCAGCCCTCCTGTGAAGTAATGGCAAAAGGATATAGGACATTGGAACATTAAAATTGCCATTACACATTGAATTTAATCCAATATGCTTTAATGGTTGGTAAACAAAAGTTGTTTTATCAAATAAAATATGATATTCAATTGTTAATTACCCAACATCTTGTCTTAAATTGATAACTAAAATGTTTTTAGTACAATATCCTCCTTTTTCTTGTAAAAGCATTCAATATTTTTGAATACTGAACTGAAATACTTTATATTGTATATTACCTAACATTAAATAACATTACATGATATTGTGTTTTGTATATTCTCATAGTGAAACACATTTATATTCCCTTATAATTACATTTACACCTGTCATAGGTATGAAGCAAGTAGTACATTTTTAGAAGTGTGTTGCTTTTCCACATACTTTGAACGCATCATTAGACAGGCGGCAGCAGCTGTTCGGTTTCAGAGAAGTGGGGAGTGAAAGCTGATGTTGAAAACCAAATCTCGCGATGTTTCAGCAGAAACTTCGGTTTAATTTGCCTTTGATTTGTAACATGCATCCTTCTGCACTTTAATGTCCTTGATTAAAATAATTAATTAAGATTTTTATTCTAATATTGCTTTTAATTTCCATTGTTTTTGAAAGGTGTTATTATTATTATTATTATTATTATTATTATTATCATTATTAGTAGCCTTGTAGTGATTTATGTTGACAGTTATTTAATGTTTAATATACAATAATAATAATTATACCTTAGTCTTACAGTATGTGCTGTTGACCGATACAAAAATATATTTGCAAAGGGAACTGCTGTTAATTCTCTATCACAAATGAAACCTTTTTGACACTTTTCAATGATGAAGGTTCAAGGTTTTTTATTTGTCATACGAACATAGCTACAGTGTAGTTATGACGATGACAATCTTAGGTCACAGGCTCCTCCAACAGTGCAACACAATAACACAGATAAACAGAAAAATATAATGCAAGTAAATAGTAAATACAAAAAGAAAAATAGTTTTAAAAAGTGAAATAGTGCAATAAGAGTCTATGCAAGTTATTGGAATATGATATATTAGATAAATCATTTCTAAGTAGCAGCCAGATGAATGTTATGGATGTTGTTTTTCAACAGTTCAGGTGTTTAACAGTTTCAACAGTTCAGGTGTTTAACAGATGTTGTTTCAAAAGTTCAGGTGTTTAGCAGTCTTATTGCCTGTGGGATGAAACTGTCCCTGAGTCTGGTGGTGTTAGTCCTGATGCTGCGGTACCGCCTGCCAGACGGCAGCAGACAGAACAGTTTGTGGCTGGGGTGATGGGGGTCTTTTATAATCCTTAGGGCTTTCTTCCTGAGCCGCTGGGAGTAAAGGTCCTCCATGGATGGCAGCTCCATCCTGGTGAAGTTCTGTGCAGTTTTAAACCCGAACATCGCTTTAGAATGTGTGTGTCTGTACCACCTTAAGCTGTATTATTCTGTTCTCTGAAGATTGCAGCCTCATACTGTAGGCCCTTGAGACAATTCATTTTTATATTTGTTTATGCCCTGCAGAGAGCAAATGTGCTGATTATAAACAATACCTTTACAACTCTTAACATTTTTTAATTGCTTCAATCTTAGTAGCACTGAATAAAAATTGACTTGAGCCAGGATTGTGTAAATCTGTGTCTGCATCTCGCCTAAACCCCCAGTAGCAGTGCCTAAAAAAAGTCCATAAATACATACAAATGCTTACAATACTTTTTTGACAACTAGTGCAGTAACTTTGCTAGACTGCTGCAAAGTGGGAGCAACAATAGCTTTACTATTCTCTATTCAATTATAACTAATATGAAACATGTCGTAGGTTCAAACTGGAGGGCTGGCGTCGGTCTTTAAATCCAGCTTTAACTGCCGTCAAACTCTGTCGAACAGCTTCTCCAGCTTTGAGCTGCAACTTTTCGAACTACACTTAACACTTCCAGTGCTCTGTGCTTTGATCTATCGCCCTCCGAAGTTCAATAAGGATTTTATTCAGGAATTCTCAGACTTTGTAGCGGGGGTTATCTTGAACTTTGATCGATTTTTAATCATTGGCGATTTTAATATTCATGTGTGCTGTGATTCCCGACCCCTCGTCAAAGATTTTATGAATCTCATTGACTCTTTTAAATTTACACAGTCGGTTAATGGCCCGACACATGAGAAGGGACACACTGGACCTTGTGTTGTCTCATGGTTTAGATGTTTGTATCAGGGACATTTGTGACACTGGTATTTCGGACCATTTGCCTGTGTTATTTACTGATGCTGCCTTGCTCTCCAGTTGACTCGTGCGTTCCGGAGCGCCGCCTACGTGCGCTGAATCCTCTGACCGCGTCAGTTTTCCGTTGCCTTTAATGACTCTGTGCTTTCCACATTAATTGACTCTTGTGACGCCGGTGCTGAGGAGATTCTCAGCCTTTTTAATTCTACTTGCACGGATATTCTGGACCTGATCGCTCCATTCACGGCCAGACGCCCTAAACCTGTGACTGAACCGTGGATGGCTGACTCTACCCGCGCCCTGAGACGCGCATGTAGACGAGCAGAGAGGAGATGGAAGAAGGATAAACTTCACGTCTCCTTGGGGATTCTACGAGACGGTTTAAGCGAATATCAGAGGGCTGTTAAATGTGCAAAAACACATTTTATTTCAAATCTTGTGTCCAAAAACCGAAATAGGCCCCAGTTCCTTTTTACCACTCTTAATTGTCTTTTAAATCCCTGTAACTCTCCCTGTCTTGTGCCATCACCTACTCTATGTGAAAAGTTCCTTTCATTTTTTAATGATAAAGTCTTAGCCATCAGATCTTCACCTCCTCCTCTCACCTTAGACCCAGCAGTGTCTCCTGTGTGCTCAGCTGTCTTCGAGCAATTTGACCTGGTTTCACTGCCCGAGTTATCTGATGTGGTTAAAAAATTGAAACCTTCACAATACCCCTTAGACATTATTCCTCCGAGACTACTGAAAGACGTTTTTACTACAATTGGGTCATATATTTTAACTTTGATAAATATCTCTCACCTCAGGCTGCGTTCCAACCTTTTTTAAACACGCTGTAGTGCAGCCTCTTATCAAAAAACAGAACCTTGATCATTCTGTTCTCTCCAACTTTAGACCTATTTCTAAGCTACCCTTCCTGTCTAAAGTCCTAGAGAAAGTGGTGTTAGCGCAACTGCAGTCGCACCTTGTTTTAAACTGCATATCAGAGAAGTTTCAGTCTGGTTTTAAATCACGCCACAGTACAGAAACTGCTCTCCTAAGAGTTTTGAATGATCTTCTTTTAACTGCTGATTCTGGGAATTCTGCTGTGCTTGTGCTTTTAGATTTGTCTGCTGCTTTTGACACCATTGACCACCAAATTCTTTTATCACACCTTGAACTGTGTGTTGGAATTAAAGGTAATGTCCTAAAATGGTTTCAATCCTATCTGTCAGAAAGGACCTTTTCTGTGCATCTTGGCCAGTATTCTTCAGCTGCAGCCCCACTAGCATATGGGGTCCCTCAAGGTTCTATCCTAGGCCCCATTTTGTTCAGTCTGTATTTACTACCTCTGGGGTCAATTTTTAAAAAGCATAACATTTCTTACCATTGCTTTGCAGATGATCTGCAGGTATATCTGCCTATAAAAGCAAATAAGGAATCTAGGATTGCCTTGCTTAGCTGTCTGAAAGACATAAAATCATGGATGGAAATCAACTTCTTGACTCTCAACGAAAACAAGACAGAGATTATAATATTTGGACAGTCTGAACTCCTGGATGGCTTTAATAGTGTACTCGGCCCCTTAGCCTCCTACAGCCGTCCCTCTGTCAGAAATCTTGGAGTCATCTTTGACAACTGTTTTAAATTCGACAAACAAATAAGCTTAGTTGTCAAGACAAGCTTCTTCCAGCTGCGGCTTCTGGGGAAGGTAAAGGCCTATCTTCCTAGTAAGGAATTTGAACAGCTAATCCACCTATTTATAACGTCTCGTTTAGACTATTGTCACTCCCTGTATATTGGTGTTGATAAGTGTTTGATCCGTCGCCTGCAGCTGGTCCAAAATGCGGCTGCCCGCCTTCTTACTGGGAAAAGACGTTATGACCACATCACACCCGTTTTGGCAGACCTTCATTGGCTTCCTGTCAGTTACAGGATCCAGTTCAAGTACTTACTTGTTGTTTTTAAATCATTGCATGGACTGGCACCACATTACCTGTCTGAGTTGTTGCACCGCCATGCTCCAGCTAGAGCATTGCGATCAGCTCAGCAAAATATGTTGGTGGTTCCTCGGTGCAGGAAAAAACCCAGAGGTGACAGGGCTTTCAGTGTTGCAGCTCCCAGACTGTGGAACAGCCTCCCAGTACATATCCGGACTGCTGAGTCTATTGAACTTTTTAAATCAGCTAAAAACTCACCTCTTTGCACTGGCTTTTAATACAGTTGAACATTACATTTTTACATTTGTATGTGTTTTTTTAATATGTTTTTAATTATTGTTTTATTATTGTACTCCCATTGTGTTATTTAATATGTATTGCCTGTACAGCACTTTGGTCAACTGAAGGTTGTTTTAAATGTGCTATATAAATAAATAAAGATTGAGATTGAGATTGAAACTGCACCACTTGGGTTACCAGAAATACACCCAACAAGTGAGAACAGTCCTCCAGATTGTACATGTTCTCTGTGCAAATTCTCGAAGTGTACAATTCTTTCTACACTTTATTTGTATTATTATTACAATTTGTATTATTTCTTTTCAGAACATTTTCAACAAGTTGTACTAATGCAAAGTGGTGGGGACAATTTCTGCCATTTCCAAAAGTGGTGGAGACGTGTCCCCAGCATCCCCAGTGTAAATGACGCCATGAAAGTAGCAAGAAAACATGTGAACGTAAATTCACAGTTGATAGTTGTACTTTTGAAGATCCCTAAAGCCAAAGCGAAAACACCTCCATAAAGAGTTTAAAATCTAGAAGGCCGGACGTTGACGGTGCAGCTGGCCTTGATGTTTCTGAAGGTGGAGCAGTCGAAGTCGGCCACCAGAGTCCTCTTACCGCGCTTGTAGGGAACGAAGGAGAAGTTGACACGAAGACGGTTGTTTGGCTTTATGTCTGGAAGCCTGCAGGGATCACAAATAGCAAAAGGTGAAAACAAGACTCAGAATGGCTCAGTTTGTGGGTGAAACTCGTGGTCACACACACACACACACACACACACACACACACACATACTCTCTCTCTCTCTCTCTCACACACACACACACACACTCACTTGACTTCCACCTCTTCCTTCACCAGTCCACTCCCAGAGAGGGTCAGAGTGCAGTTGGTGAGCGTCTCTGTGACCACGGGGTTCATGAAGATCACCTCTCCTCTTGTGGCACGGTTCACTTTGGCAGAACTGGTCATCTTGAACGCACATTTCACATTTATTTTAGCAAAACTTAATCTAAGATTTTGAGTATGAGAAGAACGATGACAGTCGTTGACAGAATTCCTTTTTTTAAATATATATTTGGAGATACAGTGTTGAAAGGGGGAGATAAACAATGACGATTACATTTTCCACGGGCTCTGGAGTGGAATTTGCACTGAAAAAACTAAAACGTTGACTTTGATCAAATGTATCATCATGTCAACAGATTTCACATAACTGTATTAGGTTGGTTGAAACTAATATGTTTGATTTAAACTTAATATTATTGCTTTCAACTTACTTAATACAGTAATGTGAAATCTGTTGAAATAATACATTAAATTAGAGACAACGTTTTAGTTTTTTCTGGTGGCCAAACATAATTCTCTTTTACTGACCTTGAGGGAGATGGGGGGGTCGATCAGCACAACGTCGTCCACAGCCAGGTACGTGTTGTCGGGCCTCTCTTTGTCCGTCACCAAGGCTGAAACCTTCAAGCTGTCACAGTCCAACATGGGCTTATGGTAGGCCGAGAATGGGACTCGGATCCGGATAGACAAATCTCCAGGAGACAGAAAAGGAGAGTTAATATAGGTTAACAGCAAATCCTACAAAAAGATACAGATATTCCCACCCAATCCTCATGGTAAGTTAGGTCGGAGTGCAAGAGTTTATGAGATGTTTTTCTTGTGAATGTATCATTGTACAATGTCAGAGTAATATTATATAATATTTTATAAAAATAACACAGTTAAAGGTGGGGTAGGTAATTTTGGAGAAACCAGCTCGAGTGCGCTAGAATTTGAAAATACACAACCGGAAAAAATCTGCCACTTCCTTACAGAGCCCCTCCTCCAACACACACGAACGTGCACATGACCAATGAGGGCACGAGATACGTTTGTGCACAGATGGAAGGCTGACAGGCAGGTAGGCCATCCAGTTATTTTAGCCGGGCCGGCATTTTTGTCAAAGCACTCGGGATGTTAAGAGCATTCCATGGAATATAACAAAAAGTGTATCTCGAGCCGGTTTCTCAAACTTACCTACCCCACCTTTAAAGGAGACACTTTGCATTTTTTGGTACTTTTACTTTTCCTACTTTGAAAAATATTGATGCTTACACTTATACTTTAACCAAAGTTACAACATTTTACTAAAAACTTTGATTCCAGGACTTGTACTTGTACTGAAGTGTTTATGCATTGTGGTATTTAAAAAAGAAAATGTGTTCAACCACTGTAAATGTGAATATTTTTGTGTAAATATAACACGTCAAGCAGGGAATATCAGAGCTGTTTTCTCCTAAATGTACCCCTTTAATAACAGAAAACACTTTTTTTCCTCAAATGTAACTTCCATCCCCAAACTAAGTTATTATAATATGTATTACCTTCAGTCGAGTTGCATTATTTAGACGTTAAGATTTTGGTTTCATTTAGCTTAGGTTACTTTATTTGTCTCTGTAGTTAGATGTTACCAGACTTTTAGACATCCGCCTCCAAAACTAAACAGCCCCATCAGAGCAGCAGAGGATCACCTTTCCCGGGCCGCAGTATCTTGTCCTTCACCTCAGTCTGGATGCTCGCGGCCGGGAAGCCGTTGTAGGTCATCGCCTGGACGCTGATGTTGACGGAGAGCGACCTGACGGAGCTGCTCTCACTGCGCAGCAACAGCTTCAGCCTCACATCCTTACCGTTCCTCGGTGGGCTCACCTGTAGCAAACAGAGTCGACTGAATACGCTAATGAAGTGTTTTTGTCTTGAAGAAGTTGATGTAGAAAAAGTAATTACATATTCAAACTTGTGCTGTTGAATGCTAACCTAACTAGTTATGTTGTTGTTAAGATATTCCATATTTCCATGTGTAATTTAAGAGTTTTGAGTCTCCTCACTTTCATTCATCTTTAATAACAATCCTGTGTTTATGATATATCACTTTAAGTTGTAAATCACTAAGAGAGAAGGAGACCACCAGCTCACTGCAGACTGTTATGTTTATGTGTGGGAATAACAGTACAGACTTTAATTTAGTTACATTTCAAAGTTGGACTTAATTTTAAGGACATTTACCTGCAGTGTGGAGCTACTTATTGAAGCACAATCGATCAACCAATGAAATTGTATTTATATAGCACAATATCACAATGTACACTTGTCTAAGGGGGCTTAACAGTGTGCACAGAAAACCTGAGAGGTATTAAAGGTCTCCTATTATACTATTTGTAGGCATATATTGTACGTCTCAGATATATACAAATGTATAAAAACATGTGTATGAAGTGCTCAAAATACAAAACAGATCACCCATTCTAGCCATGCCTCATACCCCTCTATTTCAGCCCTGTTAGAGAAGTGCTGATTCTGGGTCCGTAGATTTAAAAGAAGAAAAAAATGGAGGAAAAAAAGAGGAGGGGGAGCTTGTGCCTGCTCAGAATTCTACTGAGATATTCAGCTAAATGCTGCAGCGATGAAACGCCATATCATGTTCAGAACCACATCAAGGATTATTTCTGAAACAGTATGGAGCTTTTAATACATACTCTCTCCAGTACAGGTTAGCTCTGAGTGCTAGCGATGCTTGCTAATGTAAACAAAGACCATATTACTTCCAAAACACGTAGCGCATTGTTTCTGATAGTGACGTTTCTGATAGGGCCGTGGGTGTAAAGCCAGCCCAGATTTCCGATATTACGTTATATCGGCAGAAAATCTGGATCAGCTCCGTTGTACCCCCGTTTTTTTAGATTTGGGTACGGAGGAAAAGAGAGAGGGTTTTGTTTTCTGACACTTTGTGAGTTCCCTGACACACCAGGGACACATATTTATGTATAAAAAAAAGTGCATTTTGCATGATAGGAGACCTTTAACACTCTCCAGCATAAATTGGCAGAGCAGGAGAGTCTGTAAACCAGTCTGCATTGATCTATGAATTCATGTCAGTGATTCTGCTGTCCACAGCTGATTTTACGCAGCCTTCACTATGTTTACCTTCATTGGATCAGATAAAGAGCGGCAGGCTGCAAAATTATAACCACACACACCTCTACACGCATAACATTAATTATAATTTAGCATGATGTGTGTTTCTGCTCTGCTCTGCTCCACTCTGTGTGTGTATGTGTGTGTGTGTGCCCGACACCGGCACTTGTTTCCAGAAGATATCATGATACTGTGGATCCATTCTCCGTGCATTTTGTGAACACCCACATATACCCATAGACTTGGTCAGATGTGTGTAACTGTTCATAAGTAAATTCATCTATCTGGTTTATGCCTTGCCCCAGATCAGACCCACTAGTTCAATCAATCAATCGATACACATTTAATCCTAAATAATTATATCCAAAGGCGCAGTGCTGTCAGAACCTACACAATGAACGTGATTACTTGATGCCTCAAAAAGATGAATGACAAATAAAACAATTCAGAAAGTAAAGTGCACATTTCAAGCACAAAAGAAAACACCTCCAGTTTAACAGCTCTGAAGGATAACTTAAGGGGTTTTTTGTGACGCACCTCTTCAAACTGCATGGTCACAGGCGGAGGTGGAGGTATGCAGATCGGTGTTTCTGCATCTGTACCGTCTGAGGTCTCATTCCCAGCTTCGTTCTCCTCCTCCTCTTCACTCTCATCATCTTCCTCCTCATCACTCGGGATAGCGTCATCTGTCTCTTCCACAGCCACATTGTCCTCCGTCTCATCATCGTCCTCGCCCTCCTCAATCTCATCCTCATCCTCATTCTTTTCCTCATCATCATCCATTTTGGATTGGGCGTAATCAAAGACCTTCCTCTCCTTCTCTGTTCCTGTAAATTGAGTTTCAAAATCAATTTCCAGAGATACCTACGGCTGTTTACAGAGGGGGATAGTGTACTTTTACTTCAGCAAAAGTAGTAACACCAAAGTGTAGAAATATGAGTTAAAGTCCTGCAATAAAAACATTCCCTTATTTAAAAGTATAAAAATATTAGCATCAAAAGAAGGCTACATAAAGTTATTTTTGCACTGGCCTATTACAGAAAAAGATATACAAAATAATGGTATCATATATATTGCTTTTTATTATAAGCTTCTTTTTTTTACTATAATGCTGCCAAGTAGCTTGTGAATTTCCGTCAGGGATCAAAACAGATTTACCTTTATTAGCACATAAAACATTATGTGTTGATTATATTTTGTATTATTAATCTGAATCGTTAAAGTAACTTTAGTCATGAAAACATTTAGTGGACCTAAAAGGATAATATTTTTCTCTGAATTGTGGCGAACTGGAAGTATAAAGTAGGAGGAGATGGGAATATTGGAGTGAAGTACAAGTACCTCAAAACTTGAGTATCTCTAGATAATTACTCTTCATCCCTGGCTGTTTATGTGTTCTTCAGGCGAACTCACCCTCTCTGTATTTGTAACTGTCGGTGATGTTCAACCTCTTCTTGGAGCCGACAGACTTGGTGGAGATATTGTGACCCACCCTTGCAGTCTCAGAGTAAATATTCAATTTGGAGCCATCAGCCTTAACCTGATAGGACACACAAACAGTAGCAACACAAAGAAACAATGAATTACACAAAATCAGTAAAAAATGTCTTTGAAACCATTTAGCGGTGTGTGTCTGCACTGAAAATAGTGAAACGTTGACTTGTAAATGTATTATGTCAACAGATTTCACATAACTGTATTAGGTTAGTTGAAAGCAATAACATTACGTTTAAATTAAGAGAATATTCAACTTAATATTATTGCTTTCCATTTTGTTGTCAATTTGTTGACATAATACATTTAATTAATGTCAGTGTTTCAGTTTTCCCGTGAACGCTGATTTGTCATATTTAATAGTTCAACATTTATTTTCATGCTGTTTTGTATATAGCAAATTAATCATTATTTATTGTCATTAATTAAGTTATTACCCATAGTAGTACATATGGTTTTTCACCAGGGAAATAGAGGCACTCAAAGCCATTGCCTTATTGTTTGATCTTTGAAACCTAAGGGAAATAAACCGAACACACTACAATCTTGCCTGGACAATGGACTGCTACCCGATGCCTCTATGGCAGTTTGATTTCGAGTTCGTTTTCTGTTTTTTTGGTTTTTGAAATACCAGCTACACTGTGTACTGTGTGTGTGAGGCTCACTGACCAGCCAGTCAATGCAGTCGGCGTTGACCTCGGCGAAGACAAATGGGATGTCATATTTAAGGTCTGTCTCTCCTTTTAGGATGGCTTTCACCGGGGCGGGACCACAGCAGAAAATACCTGCAGGAGGAGAAAAATAATTCAATAAAAAAACATTCCAGGAGTGTTTACGTCACTTAAAACCGCTTTCTGAAAGATTTTGAAATGTCTCACTTTGATGCCAAGTGGTGGTTGTATTATTTTTCTGGTGGTCATTTTTGACGTTAAAAAGCCGGCCCGTAAGTTTGCCTAAACCTAAAGCCAGAACTCTCACATCTGTAATTGTGAGTCCTCCTAAACCTGTCCCTACATTGAAAAAATGTTAACTTTGATTATGCGTAATATGTCATCAACGTTCACATAACTGTATTAGGTTCGTTGAAAGCAATAATATTAAGTTGAACCTAATCTAATATATTTAAACTTAATATTATGGCTTTCAACTAACTTAATAAAGTTAGGTGAAATCTGTTGACATAATACATTAATGATTCAATTCAACGTTTCAGTTTTTTCAGTTTAACTTAAATCTGAAAAAGTCATAATTGTAATGAGGTTAATTGGATCTACAGGGCTAGATAGGGTTAGGGTTTTGGGGAGCACGGTGCACGGGCTCTCGGGTAAGTATTTTTGTTTAAAAACCTGTAATAAAACCAATACAAGTTTATAAAAGCCCTGTTTGGTCTGTGTTAAAAAATGAAATGAAATAAAATAAAGAAAATGCAAATAAAGGGATAAAAGAGAGCAGCGGCTGAAGCACAGAGTGTGCGGCGGGGTTAAAACCTCATCCCCCGGTGGTGTGTCCGAGGCTGCGTCCCACAACATCTGGTAAAAGACCTGGTAAGTAAGCTAAAAACATCTGGCTAAAAGGACCGAGGTTGACTTTGTTTAAAATCGGCATGCAGGTAAGATTAGTATTAAATGGTAAATGATAAATAAATACATAAAAGTGCTTTGTAAAATCAGTGCAACACTAGAACCGCCAACGGGTCAATTTTACCCGCAGCTGTTTTTTGATTGTATGTCACTTTTTTTCAATAAAATATTCAAGTTTCCCAGTCCTTGACTTTTCCTGAAAGTGTGTTATGTAGCACCCTCTGTTGTTAAAAATGGTCAATATGAAGTCAGATTGAAAAAATCGCCCAAAAAAATGCCATTTATACCTATATCTGCCAGCGGGTAATATTTACCTCATAGAAAATGCAGCGTAAACATAACGTGTTGCTATAGCAACGTCTTTTGTCTACTGCGGTTCCTTATAGATAGAGAGATAGATTGAGAGAGAGATAGATAGATAGATTGATAGATAGATAGAGAGAGATATAGAGGGAGAGATAGAGAGATAGAGAGATAGATCGATAGATAGTTATGGAGAGAGAGCAGAGAGATTTGTACCTAAACAAAACACAGTCTAACACCAAGCGTTTAAATCAGCACTGGTAGTGATATTTTATACTTCATGGTATCTGCACAAACGATATCATATGAAAAGCTGAGAGTTCATAGATTCTATTGGTATAAATTTCATCCCTGTGCGATCAAAACTCACTGTTCTACATGATAAATAAAAGAACATTGTACCTTGAAAATCAATAGCGGGTAAATGTGACCCGTTGGCGGTTTTAGGTATACAGCGACCTCTGGCGGTTCTAGTGTTAAAAAAAAGGGCTGGTAAAAAAATCACATCAACCCAAATAATACAAGATAACATAACATATACAATATATCAAATATAATATATAGAACTATAAAATATAATATATAAAGTATAAAATATATAAAATATGTCAAATGTAAAGTATAAAATGCACACGGGTTAGTAGGCACACGGGGAGGGAAAATATTTTAAAGTAAAGTCAACCAAGTGTCCCTAAAAGTGTTTAAAACCCAGGCTGGTGGCTAGGTGGTGCAGGTGAGACATGGGACACGCCTTGGATGATGTTTAGAAATACTTTATTAAAGGGATTGTTCCAGGGTGTTTCTCTGCGGGAGGCTCCAACATCCATTTCAAATAAATTAAAATAAAAAGTAATAACTCAAATATGAATAAAATAATATAAACAATGTTCAAATAAGAAACGGGGGATTAATAATATATAAAAAGATCCTCCTCTTTTGGAACCTATTAAAATAAGGAAAACATGCAATAAACCGTGCAAACATAGAATCAAGTGTAACATGTAAAATATAAATAGTAATAGAGTAGGGTTAGGGTCGCGAGGCCTTCTAGATTTTAAGGAGTGTAAGAAAGTTGGCCCTTATCTCAGACATTTATTTATTTGTTTGAAGGAAACTAAATGATACTTTATTTTAAAGTTTGGATTATTATTAATGAAATAACCTTCTCTCATGATACATGAGCAGTTACCTGTGCAGTTTATTACTTGGTCTGTAATGTTGTTTTTCATGCATTATAATAAAATAATATTTTTTATAGTGATTGTCTTTCTACCTGTCTATTGCATATTTCAACAGCGAAATATTAAAATAACGACTAGCCATAATTACAAGGGATTTGTTGGGAATATAAATGATCAATCATCATTTTATGATTTTAGTCAAACTTTCATCTAGAGCACAATAAATATGGAAGTTCTTCTGAGCAAAACTATAGACTCCAAAGGATGAATGCTGTATTATTTTGTAACTAAGAAAGTAATCAGCATGAACTGTAGTTTATAAAGTGTAACATCCGTACCATCGCTCTTCTCCTGTGGTGTTGGATCCACAACCTGCCAACCGTCAAATGCTCCGTCCTCTGAAAGATCAGGGCGCCTCATCCACGCCTCCACCCACACGTGGTAGTTCCTAAGACATTAAGTAACAGTTATATTAGGGCTAGGCGATAGTGAAATACAATAAAAATCAGAATCTCTTTATTGTCATCATACTTTGGTATGAGGACATTTTGTTTGGATCGCTTACTAGAGTTAGACACAAATAAATAAAAGCAGTGATAAAAGCAGAGGTAGCAGCAATGACAAGGCACTGCATGGTAAAGCACTGAGATTACATTAAATTAAATGTCAATGTACATAGTTACAAATGTTACAGACCATAAAATGTTATAATACAAACTACACAAGTTTAAATATAACTGGGTGTTCGTAAATTGATGCAAAAAATGATCATAGATGCTAAAGAAAAGAAGAAAGAAAAAGAATGCATTTGTATTTATAAATATTGTAATTACAGTCTTTGAAGGGTGGAGGTGTAAGTTATCAACTTTATGTTGACGAAAATCATATATCAAGAAAAGGTAAAAAAAAAGAAGCATATACTAATGCGTTCATCAACCCTGGAACGTACACATGGATTGCTGCTTTGACGTTATTGGGGCCATACACTTTTCATAGGACCTTGTTGTTCACTCTGGATACGTTTTCTTCAACGTGTCGTGCAGTGTGTTGATGTTAAGTAAATGTTTTTGTATCCTCTCACCAAATGCTGTCATGGGATGCTTTGGGTGCGACTCCGTAGTCGGCGTGGTACTCGTCGATGATCAGATTGGCGTTGTTGTCGTGGGCTGACGAGAAGTTGGTGACCACACGACAGGGGATGCCCAGCAGGCGCATCACTGCAACCAAAAACAAAGACTTGATTTAACACTAGATGTTACCCTATTGCACTGAAAAAACCCATGTCAACAGATTTCAGATAACTGTATTTGGTTAGTTGAAAGCAATAATGTCGAGTTTAAATAAAAATTAGCAGGTTCAACTTAATATTATTGCTTTAAACTAACCTAAAACCGTTATGGGAAATTTGTTGACAAAATATATTTACTTCATTGCGTTTGTTCAGTGTGTGTTTGTATTGAATGAGACATTTTGCCATTATTGTTAATGTGTCTCTTTATTGTCATTGCTAAGGAGCCATTTCATAGAGAAATGGCTTCAAACTCAGATTCAAATGTACACTAATCTGCATGGGAGTTTAATTCAAAGGGAAAGTTCACCCCAATATTAAACATAAACATATAGATTATTTTACCTTTTTAGGATATTATTGTTTTTTTTCCTAATTTCTAAGAAAGCTGAAATACATTATTTTCTTATTTGAAAATTCGAAATTATTTTCCATAGCTTTCAGATCATGTGACTCCAGATGAATGCAGCATTGTATTGCTACACTGGACGGGCAGGACATACTTTTATTGGCATTACCAATACTTTTACTTTTGGCACTGTTTTTTTTTTTTATGCCTTATAACTTATTTGCTAGTTTTCAAATGTAGTATTCCTTGTTTAACTTAGGATATAAGTACTTCTTCCATTCCATTCAAACTATCTTGTTGACTTGTCTTATGAGCATTTCAATAATTCAAATGTAATATTAAAACTGTTACCTGAGCACATCACCCCAGCAAACACCCAACACTGGCCATATTTGACGGGGTGTGCACCGATGTTGTACCAGCGACGCAGGATGGGGTAACTGCCACTCCAGTGAGAGGGGGAATACCCCCCAATATATGAAGTGCCCCAGTTCCCCTGCAGGACCCCCCGGTCATCTTGAGAGTTTATCTGAAAGAAAATAAGCACACTCTTTTTAGCGATAGAACGTTTTTACTTTCTGCATTAAGTGGTATCAATGTCTCGCATCATTTCTGGATTTTTGGTACACAACAGTCTGAACTGTCAGCCAACAAAGGCTTAGCTGCTATAAAAAGGTTTAGGAAGCCGTGCGTAAGAAATACAAATATATATCATACCATGGCGCTGACCACGCGGCTGACGTAGATGGGGTTACAGCGAGCGGAAACATCGTCAGCAGGGTCTTTCTCGTGTTTGAGGTTAAGGTCCAAAATCAATAAACTAATTGCCACCATGTTGTCCTCAAACTGGAAGAAGGGAGAGAATTTTGAATTGAAATATATAATATATTTGAATTATTTAAACTTTAAAATATACATCATTTGCAGTTTGCTTTATAGTAGATAATTCAAATTCAAACTTAAAGTTCAGCCACTAAAATGTCAGATTTACAATTTAAAACTTCCATCTGTGATACTAAAAAAAGAGTATTGGGTACTTGAATTCTAAAAAGTATATACAAAAATGTTTCAAAACACTGTGTGTGTGTGTGTGTGTGTGTGTGTGTGTGTGTGTGTGTGTGTGTGTGTGTGTGTGTGTGTGTGTGTGTGTGTGTGTGTGTGTGTGTGTGTGTGTGTGTGTGTGTGTGTGTGTGTGTGTGTGTACCTGTCCAAAGTCCCAGGCTCCATGGGAGATATGTCTTTGACTGCCTCTGTAGATGACTCCTTGTTCATTCATCACATACTCCTTTATCTCATTCTCATCCTTCAGATACACCCAGTCATCTACAGACAGACAGACAGACAGAGAGACAGACAGACAGACAGACAGACACACAGACAGACAGAGAGACATACAGACAGACAGACAGACACACAGACACACAGACAGACAGACAGACAGACACACAGACACACAGACAGACAGACAGACAGACAGACACACAGACAGACACACAGACAGACAGACAGACAGACACACAGACAGACAGACACACAGACAGACACACAGACAGACAGACAGACAGACAGACAGACAGACACACAGACAGACAGACAGACAGACAGACACACAGACACACAGACAGACAGACAGACAGACACACAGACAGACACACAGACAGACACACACACAGACAGACACACAGACAGACAGACAGACAGACAGACAGACAGACAGACAGACAGACACACAGACAGACAGACACACAGACAGACACACACACAGACAGACACACACACAGACAGACAGACAGACAGACAGACAGACAGACAGACAGACAGACAGACAGACAGACACACAGACAGACACACAGACAGACACACAGACACACAGACAGACAGACAGACAGACAGACACACAGACAGACAGACAGACAGACAGACAGACACACAGACAGACAGACAGACAGACACACAGACACACAGACAGACAGACAGACACACAGACAGACACACACACAGACAGACACACAGACAGACAGACAGACAGACAGACACACAGACAGACAGACACACAGGAAGACATACTTTTTATTTGTATTTGATGGTATGGGTTTACAAGTATTCAAATTATATGATAAAATGTCCTGTATTCAAAATACTTTATGGCAAAAGAGGACAGATGTAACTGTAAAAACCCTTTTTTCCCCTTTTATTATCTTAAGTCCTTCTGATATACTTTTACTTGAGAAACAATTTGTAAAGCAGGATTTAACTACATTCCACATTAGCCTACAGGTGGTACATTCTTTCTTGCATAGTGATTATTAAGATAAGTATTATTTTCTTCAAACAATTTTTGTCACCAAAGATAAATAAATAAATAATGTTTTGTTTGACTATTCCATCGACCAACCCCAACCCCCTTTTTATTTAAATTTAAAATAAAAATGTTTTGAGTGACTTTAGTTTAGTTAATTTAAATGTTAATTTGTAATAATTTATAAAATAAAATAAAAATATACTATATATAATATACTATATATATAGTATATTATATATAGTATTATTTATTTATATTTATATATATTGATAGATATAATTTTTTTTAACCAGACTGTTTAAACTCCTTTACACTCCAAAATAACTTTAATTATTTTTGCCATAGGGTAGATATTCTCTACACTGTTGCAGTGTATTTGAACTATTGAGTAACACAGTGTAAAAATACTAAATAATAAATAAATACGCAATATCTGATAATTACTTTTATGTTGCTGCTTGTTAATAATTGTTCAACTTTTTGTTTTTTAAATAGGCCTACTGTATACTGTATTATAACACAAGTTAGTTGTTTACTCTATTCTGATTGGTCATTTGGACATTTCACAGGTTGTTAATACTCGATAGCACACAGCTGCTAAGCAAAATAATGACCGTTCAAGGGAGAAAAGAAAAGACAGAGCTTTGAACGTCAGAAAAATATACAGAAGAAAAGATAGACAGGAAGTAAACACTAAAGGGAACAGCAGGGTTGCGGTCGAATAGTCCAAAAATCAGCTCCTAAGTTCTAACCCTATCGTCTATTCCTTGACCTCGGAGTGAAACGTCACGGGGTTAAGGGATAGTGGATAGGAGAATTCAAAAGGATTTAGGAGAAGAGACTGCGGTACTTTAGAGAATCCGACTGCACTTTCACTATCCGACGTGTTTATGATGCGCCAGCGGAGGTCATAAATGTGCGTCTGCTGCTGTGGGGAAACTATGGAAACTACAGTTTTCTATACAGCGGACTACAACATGGATGTTTAATAAGAACGAGGGACTACTGTAAACTCATCTAGAGACTCTGCACCGTGCTCTGATGCTGTTGTTTTATGCTTTATGAACGGGGACAACAGAGAAACATATTCTTCATGACCAAAGTTGGAATTGAAATAAAAAAGGAAAGTGAAACTTATGCTCGTCACCCTCTCCCTCCGGTCCACATTAATACAAATGATCCCAATACGTATGATTGTATGAAAAGATCTTAAAATCAATACAAATGTATTTATTATAACGGTTAGTCCTTAACATCTATCACTGTGTATATCACCATTCAAACATCTTTTAAAAGTTGAACAAACCCCACACAGCTCAGTAAAGACTGTGAAATGTTGACTTTATTTGATCATTTCAGTAAAAACTAACGTTCATATTTCTCTTTTTGATTATAATACTGATGAACGTTCAAAACAAAGCACTTTGGCAACTTACCACATACGTTTTAAAATGCTTAATAAGCACCGTAACTTTCATGATATCATTTCTCGTTCATAATCGGTTGTTTCCGTGAACGGCCGACTGTTGTGTGACGGCAAGGCAAATGCCGCGGCCGCAAGGCATTGTGGGGCAGCATTTTCTCCTCTCCTTTAGGTTAGGGCAACACACTCTCACTCCCTAAGCGTCCAGGAGCGACGCTTGGTCAGGGTCCCGTGGCGTCCAGTTGTGACGCGCCGAGGCTCCTTCAGCTTCATAAACGGACGCAAAGAGCTTTCAACTGATTGCAATGTATTCCCATCGGCGTCGGTATTTGACGCTTAGGGAAGCACGGCATTCGTTTGTGTCGGAGGCTGTTAAAGGCAATGTGAGCGTCCATTCCCATTGGATAACGGAGAATTGTACACCCGGAAGTAAGTATTCCCCTTACTGTCGATTGATTTGACAGTGATATCTCCACTACTCATCAACTCAAAAACACCAGATTATCCTTGTTAATTAAACGACATTGATAGGTTTTAGTGTGTGGACAATGCTTTTGTCACGTTTTCCCCTTCAATTCTGAGAAACAAGTCGTTTTCTATGAGTTTTGGATGGTCGAAGACATGACATTACCCACAATCCTCTGTAGCAACCATAGACTGTATAAAACAATTAAATAATACATTATTCCGAGTGTGCTTGCTTTTCTCTTTGAAAGTCATCACATAACGGCATTGTAATACACGTTTCGGCTGCATTAAATATGACATATCTGCCGTAGTTAACTCTGCCCTGATGACAAGACTTCTAGACAAACAGGAACTGCCGCCAAAACTGAAAACTTGACGTGGATCTTAAATATATAAGCAATTAAACAACATCTTACATTTCTTTTCACACAATACGTCTCCTTGCAGTATCAATACTAATTCGGCTGACTTTTATATTTGATCCAATTGGTAGAGAGGCTGTATTTACGCCATAACGGTGCACAGCTGATAGAACGGGACACCTACTGGTTAAAGCACGTTATTGCATTTTATAATTTTATTATTAGATATTAATAGGATCCCTATAAAGTATATTCTTTACTCATCGTTATTCTCTACAAATAGTTAATTAAAGACTGTATATAATGACTATTTTGCACATCCCATTCAAGATTTCAAGATTTTCTAAGGTTTATTGACATTAAAGACTGTATATAATGACTATTTTGCACATCCCTTTCAAGATTTCAAGATTTTCTAAGGTTTATTGACATATCATATTATACACAACTACGGTGTAGTTATGCAATGAATGAAAAACTTGGGTCGCAGGTTCCTCAACAGTGCATTACAAGACATCTATCAATATGTGTGTACCTCCACTATTACATTGTCATATTCTGCACATTTCTTATACTATCTACATACATCTTATAAGAGTATAATACATATGTATAATATCAGTTAAAATAAGTGCTTAAACATAGTTAACATGGCAGGAAAGCAATATATTAGACGTTAAGTACTTTGTCAGGCTTAATATTTATCTGTAGATACAAATATCACCGTGTGTGCTGTGTGCTCTGCATGTGTGACCATCAAAGAGGGTTTCATCCCTCCATATTCATCTTCTATACCCCCAAAGCTTTTTTCTTATTCAAAACAAGACCTTAACCTAAAGCATTCTTTAATGTTTAAATAAAGCCTTATTAGTTTGTCTGTTTTGCACATCCTCCTATTAATATCTAATAATAAAATTATAAAATGCAATAACGTGCTTTAACCAGTAGGTGTCCCTTTCTATCAGCTGTGCACCGTTATGGGGTAAATACAGCCTATCTACCAATTGGATCAAATATAAAAGTCAGCCGAATTAGTGTTGATACTGCAAGGAGACGTATTGTGTGAAAAGAAATGTAAGATGTTGTTTAATTGCTGATATATTTAAGATCCACGTCAAGTTTTCAGTTTTGGCGGCAGTTCCTGTTTGTCTAGAAGTCTTGTCATCAGGGCAGAGTTAACTACGGCAGATATGTCATATTTAATGCAGCCGAAACGTGTATTACAATGCCGTTATGTGATGACTTTCAAAAAGAAAAGCAAGCACACTCGGAATAATGTATTATGTAATTGTTTTATACAGTCTATGGTTGCTACAGAGGATTGTGGGTAATGTCATGTCTTCGGCCATCCAAAACTCATAGAAAACGACTTGTTTCTCAGAATTGAAGGGGAAAACGTGACAAAAGCATTGTACACACACTAAAACCTATCAATGTCGTTTAATTAACAAGGATAATCTGGTGTTTTTGAGTTGATGAGTAGTGGAGATATCACTGTCAAATCAATCGACAGTAAGGGGAATACTTACTTCCGGGTGTACAATTCTCCGTTATCCAATGGGAATGGACGCTCACATTGCCTTTAACAGCCTCCGACACAAACGAATGCCGTGCTTCCCTAAGCGTCAAATACCGACGCCGATGGGAATACATTGCAAACAGTTGAAAGCTCTTTGCGTCCGTTTATGAAGCTGAAGGAGCCTCGGCGCGTCACAACTGGACGCCACGGGACCCTGACCAAGCGTCGCTCCTGGACGCATAGGGAGTGAGAGTGTGTTGGTTAGGGAGGTCCAGTGGTTCCTAAGCTAAAGGAGGTTATAAAGGAAGTTTGAAACCTCCTTTCCTTTCATTTAGAGAATTCGAACGGCACTTATCATGGCTGCCACTGAGGGACTTCCGGGTCATTTCACTCCGTTAGGAAGGTTCCTAAGCTAAATGGACTATTCGACCGCAACCCAGAAGAAGATAGACAGGAAGTAAACACTAACGTGAACAGCAGAAGAAGGAAGACAGGAAGTAAACAGGAACACGGTATGGGCTCTGGCGGTGTTTAAGGACTGAGCTAGGTTAGTGGAAAAGAAACTGTGAACAGACTTGGACAGTCACAGAAAACCTTGTTCAGTGCTGCTGTCATTTTAGGTGGTTGCTGTTGCCGCCTTTCAGCAGTTGTTACGCAGTGGAGCAGACTATTTTTTAATGCCGAAGCAATACCATCATTTTTAAATCAATTAAATTATTTTCAGTTTGTATTGTATTATTGTACTAACTATAGTGTGACTATAGGTCTACTTGGTTACTTTTAAAAACTGGTATCTTTTAAAGATTTGAAAGTATCTTCCCATTGACCAGACAGATGAAGCACCTACCGGGACACCAGGGGTTGTAGAGCACCACCAGCTTCCCCAGCAGCATCTCCTCCCCCCCGAGTTTCACAGTCAGGATCCACTCCCCCACAGGGGTGACAGCCGGGGGGGTGAGGTTGAGGACCAGAGTTTGCAGGGAGGAGTCCTTGTGCAGATCCGCCTTCCATACTGCTATCGCTGAACGGGAGCGGGTCACCACATCTGGGACGCCGAAGAGTGAAAGCGTTCCCTGTTTCTCCGTTGGAATTTCTCCTGCAGAGAGGAGCCAATGAAGTTAACGTAATGGTGCACATGCTATGAAAAATACCCAATTTTGTGGCCATATGATTCGGCATTCTTATAAAGAAGGTCTTGCGCTGTTTGTTAATAAGTAGACGGGGTGTCATCAGCTACAGTGCAGAGGAGAATCCAAATCTTCTGAACAAAGAAGAATCTTACAATTCCATGCATCATTTCAGATTTCAAAAGTAGGCAAATGTGTGGGCATCACATCGATGTCTTCATGATATCAACTGGATTAAAAACATCTGTCCGAAAAGTTCCCTAAAACTCCGTACACCTGTCTAAAAAAAAACATTATAAATTTAGCGAGACTTTTCTGAAGCCCAGAAAGCCATCTTTGACACTACACACACTAAAATCACACTAAGGAGGAGCACATTTTCATAGATTTATCTCAATGCATTATCTATTGGACTTGCCCCAGCAACAGTCAGTGTCACCATAAACCGTAGATCTTGCCAGACAGACACAACTGATTGACATTAGCTCATTAGTGCAGTCACCCAAACACAAAAACACACAGTTAGGCCAAAGTACCTTTTCTTATCACACCCCTTATTTAGTGGGAATGCTGACACAGCATTCCCACTATCTGTTATGCTACGCACAAAATTCTTTATTATTCCGCCGGGTTATTTTGCGCTGCTTCTTCTCCCACATTGAACATCGCAGAAACTCTGTTCAAACATCAAAACGTTCAGCTCGGTCGGGAATCTATGGCTATTACTTTTATCATTCATAACTTTCATAATTCCAGAGATACATCCCATAATACATCCCATTTTTTACATGGAAGTCAATGGAGAACTCAACAATCTTCATGCAACTTCAACTGCTAACTGCTCCTTCTTCAACTGCAAACTGCTCCTTCATACTTTCACTCAGAAACCTCATTCCAACTTTAAAATGTTACACATCTTTCTGACATTATTCGTGTAACACAACTTTTAAATCTGATTCGTACTTTTAGAGATATTAAACATTGTTCAGACCTTGGTAAAGAGGCCTTCTTCAGATTTTAGAGTGCGTGATGACACAGCTAGAGTGGAGGACAGATTTAATTTTGCCTTCATATTTTCTTTTAAACCTGCCATAATTCCCAAACCCTTCATTCCTGAGACATAATTTTTCATGACAAACGTAGGAAAACATCTCGTAGCTTGAAAGATAAAAAAAAAATTAAGCAAAATAATTAAACAAAATGCCTCTTGAGGGCATGAAGTGACAAAAACGTTCAACATGTCTCCATTAAACCCCATTGTAAGTTCAGCCTCATCTTTCCCCACCACAGCAGCCGCACACCTTTTGTTAATCTGCCAAAAAGGCCACATTATTAACCCGAAAGTACACAAAAAGTACACTTCAGATGCTCAAGTTCCTTGACATGCTTCATATTTTAAAATTTCACCGATATCTGTTACGGTTCTTCAACAAAACGTTCACATGTAACAGGTTTATATCTCATTCAGAACAATGAAAATGCTTTCCTCTCACTAATCACCATGGAAACCTTTGATCTCTGGGCACGTCGTTAGCTCAAATATAAACACCTGTGTCATGGAACACGATGATGTAATAACTCCAATTGACATAATTAGAGCAGCAGACTAATGACGTGGTCACTGGAGACTGTCTCAGCCTATTATTTTCCGTCTGATGGAGACTTCATACTGACTTCAACATGTTCCACATATTTTAGACATTATTGGTGACGTATGCTTTTAGTTCTAAAGTTTTCAGTTCAAATATTCTGCTGCTTTTTCATGCATTTAGACTTTTATTTTCTTGTTCTTATTTCACATTCAAGTCCCCTCTATTCATGAACCCTTTAAAGTACTCAGCCAAACCACTTATATACCACGTGCGACTGTTGCTATGTCAGTTAATCTTTCAAATACAAGGTTGCTTGTTTGATTCAAGCTCTTGTAGTCAATATGTCAAGGTATTTATCCCTAACATTTGATCAGCTAACTAATGACACACACTCAGAGGATCTTTATAAAGGTTTTAAGTATTGCACATCTTTAAACATGACTCTTATACATCACTTTTAAAACCAGCGATGCACTACAGTGTCAGCTTTTCTAAAATAGAAACTTCAATGTTCACATCTTTCTAAATGATTCTACTTTTCAATGACCTACAAATAATCCTAATAATAATCCCATTTTCAATCTTCCAACTGTTCATATTTTTTGGTCAATTAACAAACCTGTTACAAATGTGTTGTTCAACACATTTGAGCCTTTGCCACATTTATTTGAATTATTTATATAATTCCTACATAATGGGGAAGCTTCCCACTCTATGTTATGTAAATACAAGTCTTTGACAAGAAAATATGTGAACTTCTAAATATTTAATGTCGATCCCTGGTTTTGGTTCTAGTATGTTCACTGTACTGTAGGTTATTTAGTGGGAATGCTGATACAGCATTCCAACTATCTGTTATGCTACGCACAAAATTCTTTATTATTATTATATCACCATGGAAACCTTTGATCCGAGGTTTCTCCCATTTTTCCCTTTGAAATGTGGGTTTTTCTCCGGAAGCTTTTCCTTGTAAGATGTGAGAGTCTAAGGACAGAGGGTGTCGTTTTTCTCATATTGATATTCTGAACAAACTGTGCTGTTGTATTTGCTGTAAAGTGTCTTTACTGTAGGGTATTTTTATTATATGTACAGCACTTTGGCTCGACCAAAAATCGTTTAAAAATGTGCTATACAAATAAAACTTGATTTGATTTGATTTGATTTGATTTGATTTGATCTCTGGACACGTCGTTAGCTCAAATATAAACACCTGTGTCATGGAACACGATGATGTCATAACTCCAACTGACATGCTCAGAGCAGCAGACTTCAGATAATGGTTAACACAGCTCTACATCAAATCTGATGTTACGTAATGTACGCATCCCTTCTCATAACTTCAGTGAAAATGCTCCAAACGGCACAAAACTTCACAGGTTTGGTAACGATGCAGCCATCAACGCATCTAAGCGTATTATGGGATGTCATCAAATGCCGTTGGCATGGCGACAGATCATTCGCCATCAAGTTAGTTCAAAAGTTTGCAGTTCAAATATTCTGCTGCTTTTCCAAGCCTTTTTACTTTCTTTTCTTCTCTCATCACACATTCAAGCCCCCAGTGTTCATGTATCATTTCAATCTAAATTCTTCACTTTCTTCTTACACATTACATTTCAGCATAGCAGTTTAGCATCAGCTTTTCAGCATAAAGCATTCCCATGAGAAATTTCTTCAGGAATTGCATTCTCTAGTTATGGAATAACCTCCCGTATTATAGCGAGAGTCTCATTTTGTCTCAATCCCCCCAACCCCACACCCTTTCTAAATACTGGACCCATGAAGTTACTGTATCATTAAAGAAGCTCAGGATGGGTCATGTTTCTTCAAAATAAAGTGCCCATATAGAGTAACTGTATCCGTACTGGAAGCTCAGGAAGAGGCATGTTTTCAAAATAAAAGTGCCATTTTGGCTTTAGGCCTTTAAGCACAGACATATTTAAAACAAATAATGTAAAGTAAGCCCAACCTGTCTTTGCAGTGATGTGCAGCTGGTGCAGCTTAGGGCCAAAAGGCTGCGCCACATTCAGGGTCAGTTTGAAGGGCTGACCTCGCCTCACGATCAGCTGATCCACAGAGATCTCACTGGTGTGGTGGAGGAAGTTGTTGTTCTTAGGGTGGAGGTCCACTCCCTTAAAAACTGAGAGGAAAAATAAAACAAACATGAACAAGCTGAAAAAATAGCGAACGTCTTTATTCAGATTAAAAATGTAAGATTAGTGCAGTTTTTATGGTTGCTCATAGTGGTGCCAAAAGATGTTGGAAAAGTATTAAATAATAAATTCATAAAATACCTAGAATACGTTTTGCACACGATTGATGTGATTTATTATTATAGGTTCAAACATTATAGGCAGTTACAGAGGGTCTTACTTGAACATGAAATTAATTTTCTTTACCAACCCTCTTTAAAATTCTGTAGAATGTATTTTAATACTTGGCTGGTTTCAGGGGAACAAATTCTGACTTGCTCTTCAAGAACGTTTTTTTCCAGCAGACTGGGCTCTGGTTTCAGACAGAGGGTGAAAAGAGGTGCTGCAGCACAGGCAGTATGAGAAAAATAAAGAGCTTTTTGAACATTAAAGCATGGAGACATGTCACTAAATATATATATGAACCTGAAAATTAGCATGATATAACTCTTTAAGTGGTATAAAGACAACTTCCCTCTCGGGTGGAAAATGAAGTAGTTCCATCCTATCTATCTATCGTGTCTGGACTGCACCTTTACCAATACAATTTAAAGAAAGTTGTAGTACTTTAAAATGTTTTCTTATTTTAAGCTTTTGTACATGAATGTGTATCCTCATGCTTGATTCTACTTATTGAGAGTCACTTTGAATAAAAGCGTCAGCTAAATGAACTGTCATGTGATGTCACCTGTAAAAAATTACTTTTCAACTGATGTTTATGTTTTTATTTTACATGCAAATGATTAAATCCATGTTTACTTGTTATTTAATTGCTGACATTATTACCGTACCAGTTTTCTTTCTTAAATGTTTGGAAAATAATTATGAGTGGGAAGATTTAAAGAAAAGTTTCAACAAGTTAAATAAAACACAAGTCTTTAAAGGTGGGGTAGGTAATTTTGGAGAAACCAGCTCAAGTGCGCTAGAATTTGAAAATACACAGCCGGAAAAAATCTGCCACTTCCTTACAGAGCCCCTCCTCCAACACACACAAACGCGCACATGACCAATGAGGGCACGAGATAAGTTTGTGCACAGATGGAAGGCTGACAGGCAGGTAGGCCATCCAGTTATTTTAGCCAGGCCGGCTCAGATGATTGGTCGTGCTTTTTACAGTACTACGGCTTCCACAGATGACATTTTTTTATGGATTTTTTGTCAAAGCACTTAAGATATTCATTGCTATCGGGATGTTAAGAGCATTCCATGGAATATAACAAAAAGTGTATCTCGAGCCGGTTTCTCAAACTTACCTACCCCACCTTTAAAGTAATTATTTGTATTTTGTGGTCATACTTGCAGAATATTGAAGGAAAAAACGTGTAAACATGTACACTATACAATACAATAGTAAGCAACAAAAAAAACATTTCATTTTAAAGAACCCTTTTGTTTTGTTTTTAGTTAATATAATAGACAATAGACTTATACAATCTTATTTAGGAACATTTTAGACAATAATATTTTAAGCCTGAATTGAAGACACTCAGAAAACCTGCATCATAAGAATATTTACAGCAGTGTGCAGATGTTTTCACTAACAGACTGTATACATCCTGTCAGCGCATACATTTAATATGTGATTAACATCGTCAAATTAAGCATTGAGTCGCTAGTGAATTTCCCTAAGGCATTAAAAGATATAGCTGAACAGTTTCATTTGTTTTGTATAAAAAGCATCTTCTTTCTCAAAGAGCTTTGGGAAACAAAGCTAAGTTGTTCATTCAATCATTACATTTACAGTTAGAAGTCCATATTAAGATTGTATACATAATTCCTCTTAATATGAGCTGATGCTATTTTAGATGTTGGCTGACTGTCAAACTATGTTTTGCAACCAAACTCAACACCATTATTAAAAAATCTAATAAATGCAAGCAACAGGAGACTCTAATGTTCTTACCAGATTCTGAATCTGTCATCTTTCCAAAAAGCTTCCTTCCTAGAATCGTTGATGTACAGAAAAATGCGCGCTGGCAGGCAGTCAGCAGCACACTGGAAGCACAACTCGTTTGTGGAGATTTAAATACTTGAGAAGCCCAACCCCATTTCTAATGAACGTGCAACAAGTTGCGCAACCTGGAATTAAACCCTTCCTATCAAAATAAAAGTTCCTGTTTCCCAGATTACTTTTTCATATCACTATGCTGCTATTCCATTCATTGACTTTTGTCCACAAAGACGTAGTGCCCATATACGTGCTCTAATGGAGAGGTGGGACAGAAAGGGGCTGCCAGTGTTCGATAACCCGGAGCACTTGGGTCTCAGCAGGGTCTAAACCCGGTCGGTTCCCAAGCCGAGTCCCTAGAGACTGAGCTACTGCCGCCCCAAATTTAATATATCTTCTCTCACCTTTATGTAGTGTTTTATTTTCCATTTTGTATTTGCATTAATAATAATTGAAAGCACTTTGAATTGCCATTGTGTATTAAATTAAATGTGCTATAAAAAACGTTCATAATGTTACTTTTGTTCTTGGTTTCATCTCTCATGGACTTCACAAAGAAGGAAAGGAAAGAGGCACATTTTATATAGTTTGGTAGGTTGTGTTTTCGGCCACTTGGAAACAACATAGAAACTGAGATTTGATGTAGTGTTATTCAGTCGATTTTTCATCTTTGACTCATTTTAAATAAAGAGTTACGAGTATGAATACATGTGTCCAGTTGGTGTGTGTGTGTGTGTGTGTGTGTGTGTGTGTGTGTGTGTGTGTGTGCGTGTGCGTGTGTGTGTGTGTGTGTGTGTTCTAACTTTTGGTCACTTTCCAAACAGTCTCAAGGAGGCAAGAGTAAACCCTCTCCTAAAGAAACCCACTCTCAACCCGTCTGATGTTATAAACTACAGGCCTGTCTCTCTCCTCCCGTTCCTGTCTAAAACACTTGAACGCGCTGTCTTTAAACAACTCTCCTGTTATCTCCATCAGAACAACCTTCTGGATCCGCATCAGTCGGGTTTCAAGGCTGGTCACTCCACAGAAACTGCCCTCCTCGCTGTCTCTGAGGAACTGCACACGGCTAAAGCAGCCTCCCTCTCCTCAGTCATCATCCTTTTGGACCTGTCTGCTGCATTCGACACGGTGAATCATCAGATCCTCCTTCGCACTCTCCAAGAACTTGGAGTTTCAGGCTCTGCACTTTCCCTCCTCACCTCATACCTCAAAGACCACACCTACAGGGTAACTTGGACAGGGTCCGACCCTTGTCAATTAACTACAGGGGTCCCTCAGGGCTCTGTTCTTGGTCCCCTCCTCTTCTCCTTGTACACAAACTCGCTCGGATCTGTCATTAGCCCGCATGGTTTTTCATACCACTGCTACGCTGACGACACCCAATTAATTCTGTCCTTTCCCCGCTCAGAGACCCAGGTCGTCGCACGCATCTCTGCTTGTCTAACAGACATCTCTCAGTGGATGTCTGCTCACCACCTCAAGCTCAACCTTGACAAGACTGAACTGCTTTTCCTTCCGAGAAAAGATTGTCCCACTCTTGACCTAACAATCAACATCGGCACCTCTATTGTTTCCCCGACTCAGACTGCAAGGAATCTGGGTGTGACCCTAGATAACAAACTGTCCTTCACTGCAAACATCGCTGCTGCAACCCGCTGCTGCAGATACACGCTTTACAACATCAGGAGGATACGTCCCCATCTGACCCAGAAAGCGACCCTTATGAAACAAAAATATATTGTAATATAATATATATTAAATATAATACAATATATTGGATCATACATTTCCATATATGGGAAAGTAGTCCTTATATTTTTAAATATATTGCAATATATGCATGGACCATGTATGGCTATATATTGATACATATAAAAAAAATATATTGCAATGAAAACAAAAACTGCACTATACATTTATATGTAATAGTTTTATTGAAACACTCATTTATCTTTCATGAGTTTACATGAAATTGAACAGATATTCATAAACAGTTATCTCACTTCGTTTTGTATAGTTACCCACTTTATATATGAAGATATGTTTGATGGTAGCCTACATATAAAAAAAGTACAAATTGTCCATTGAATGATGGAAAATAATATACAGTTTATAAATATATATAGACACACACATATATGCACGCATATATATATGCATATATGCACACATATATATATTCATATATGCGTGCATATATGCACGCATATATATATTCATATATATATATGAATATATGCACGCATATATATCTATGCATATATTACGGCCGACCGGCTATTTGGAGTGGAACGCACCCACGGCAGACAGCCCAAACAGTATTCGAATGCGCCACTTCCGGCTGATTTCGGGGAGCCCCCCCCCTCTCCAGCAATAGATTGATCTGATTGGCAGATTCAAATCTGCGTTGCTGCCTCTGTCTGTTGATTCTGTCGCTGAGTGTCAAAGAGAAAGCATTCATCAGGTGCTTCGAAACGGAAAATTAAAAAGAAACGAGAGGAAAATACAGCACCAGAGTCAGGTATGTGTGTGAGCATTTAAAACTATTTTAAATTGAAATAATTCTGCATGTACACTATAAGTAGTCTAGTTGCTTAATCCGTATGTCCCGTCTCTCGGCACTACACCAGCTACGTTAGCTAACGTTAGTTAAATTAGCTATGTTAGTTCCCTCGTGTATGAGTGTATAACCGGTCCGCAGCTTTGTGAACATTCAATTTCGAAGATTTTCGATGTTACAGTCAACTGAAGTCGACCCAAAACAGCCAAAAATAGCGGACCTTTAGATCGCTAACATTTTAGCATAAGTCAATGGAGTTTAACATAGCGAAAACTAGCCCCACGGCTAACGGACATTTTCTGACTGGTGACGATGATGAGCTAGTTAAGTAATGTAACCACAGTTAGTCTATGTCTTGTAAATTCCCCTTGTTCTCCTTGATCTGCATTATATCGTTCGTGTTTTAGTCAGGCACATTTAGGGACAGCTAAAGTAGTTCAGCTACGGGTCTTCGAGCTGGTTACACATGTGCGTTCAGGACATTATTGCGCATCGTCACATGCATAATTACCATCGTCACAGAGAGAATGCGTTCGTGAAGAATGTGAGCATATATGCAGATCTTTAGTGTTGGTAATGTTATAAGATTGTATGCATAGTGTCCTGCTCAGTCAGTGTGTTAATGAGTCTTGATGTCCCGTTTTTAGTTTCTATGTTGTTCAGGAATTGAGCTAATGCTAGCTAGTTAGCTAAGTTAAGCTATGATAGTGTGTGGATGAGATGCTAACTTAGCTTTTATTAGCCGTGTGTTTGCAACGTGTCTAATGTGTTTTAGCAACAATTAGTATTGCTGTTGCTTATTATTAATAACCATCGTCTGGTTAGTTATTGTAATTTGAACCTTATTTCTATTTCTGTGTATTTTGCAGAAACCATTCATTCATTCTCTACTCTACGTTAGGCTATGTGTTGTGGACTAATGCTTCAAGTTAGTTCACATTTTAGTTGTTATTGCCCCTGCTGACAATTGTGTGGATAATATGTAGCCTACAGTCAATGGCATTTCACATTTTGCTCTCCAGTGTATGTTATTTTAATGTTGACCCATAATACTATATATCTATATATTTTACAGGAGCATTGTTGAAATTCATAGGTCGAACTAAGCCTGCAGAACCACAAGTCAAGAGGACAGAGGAGCCAGATAGCAGTGGTGACTGAGACAGAATAAATAAGGAGAGAGGGCCCATGCAGAGGCAGACATCAGTAGTGAGGAATCAGACCCAAAAGATACGAGGACAGAGGAGCCAGATCGCAGTGGTAAGGAACGCACTGTCATTTAATTTCACTGTTATTTTACTTTTCACATATCACTTTATTCACTATTCAGCTTAGTTATCCTTGCCATGAAGGATTGAATGGATGAATGTTCTATATTATTTTAATGACAGATTGAACCACAGCAATATTGTTTTAGAGATTTTATATGTTTAACTGCTATGCCTGTCATCTCTGCTCTGTGTCATTGTGTTGTCTCCTGGGTTCTGTAGTGCCTGGAGTCTGTCTTTTTATTTTTTTCCTCCCAAACCCCATCCCCTCAGGATGCCTTTTGCCTCCTGTCAGGTCATCATTGTAATAAGAATTTGTTCTTAATTGATTTTCCTGGCTAAATAAAGGTTCTACTACTATTTATTCAGTTATTTTATTACTGGTACTGCTAATTGCATTATGCGTATTGTTGTATATTGTATATACGTATGTATTTACTACTACTACTTACAAAATCAAGGGTTGTAGCTTTGTGTCAGTACATATTTCAGGGTTTTTCTATGCCTTTGTTCATCTAAATTCTAATACTCATAGGCGACTACCACTCCTGCCGAGGCCCAGTTCTCCCTTCCCACCACCCCAGGCTCATTGTGCTAGGTAAAACTCTCATTCAATAAAAGTAGTCTTTTAAAGGTGGGGTAGGTAATTTTGGAGAAACCAGCTCGAGATCGCTAGAATTTGAAAATACACAGCCGGAAAAAATGTGCCACTTCCTTACAGAGCCCCTCCTCCAACACACATGAACGCGCACATGACCAATGAGGGCACGAGATAAGTTTGTGCACAGATGGAAGGCTGACAGGCAGGTAAGCCATCCAGTCATTTCAACCGGGCCGGCTAAAATGATTGGTTGTGCTTTTTACAGTACCACGGCTTCCACAGATGATATTTTTTTATGGATTTTTTGTCAAAGCACTTCAGATATTCATTGCTATCAGGATGTTAAGAGCATTCCATGGAATATAACAAAAAGTGTATCTCGAGCCGGTTTCTCAAACTTACCTACCCCACCTTTAAAGATGAATGCAATTACATTTAAAAAAGTTTTAAACAGAACTGTCACAGATGCAGATGCTTGGTCCAAATTCCATAAAATATACCAACCAGTAGCGCCACACTCAGACAAAAATGTACAAAGCCTATTCTTCCACTATTTGTATTCCCACATTATTCACCAAGCCAGCCCATGCTTTAATATAGATATTATGGATATTGTTAT